TCCAACTTGCTGACACAGATGCCCTGCTGTGCCAGCTTCCCAACAAAAAAGCCCGGCATGCCACTACCCTCCACCTTTCTTGCCTCGCCACCAAAAACCTCCCTTACAAAACCATACATCCTTCCTTCCTCAGCACTTGCCCGCACACTCTTCAAGGTCCTGCTGCCAGCTCCGGCACCAGGCCCTCCGCCCATCTCCCTTCTCGCGGCTCCCAGGGGCTTCACAGCTGTGCCACTCATCGGGCCTGACTGTGCTCCCTTCAGCCCTCAAGCAGACGAAGATCTAATGGTGTGGTGGAGGACGTGGATACCGACAACGATGGAAACACATTCTGTTTCCTGACAGGGAGCTAGAAAAGTACCACGGGAACAGAGTAGAGGGATCCACTAGGCTCAGACGGGACAGGGAAGTGTGGTAGCATCAGCGAGTGTCCCAGAGGAGGCGACGCTGAGCAAGGTCTGGAGGAGTAAAAAGTGCTTTGCCTGTTGGGGTGTGGGAAGGCAGGGCCTAACATCATGTTGAGTCTGACAAGCAGTCCTGCATTGCTGAAGAAGACAGGTGGGGGGTGCCGGGTGTCTGAGATGTGGAGGGACGGGGCCTGGCAGAGGGAGAGCCCCCAGAAGGCAGAAAGACAGGACCAAGATCAGAGACCCAGTAAGGCAACTCTTGCCGTGTGAACAAAGTTCTAAGTGACCCAGTCAGAGGGTGGCTCCCCTCTTGACTGTCATTAGTTGTTCTGGGATTACGACCTGCTGCCCGCTGCCCGGCCCCCCGACCTCAGGTGCTGGCTTCTTCCTGAGAATGCGTGGTCCTGGCCGGGCCTCTCTGAGTGCCAAAGAGGCAGGGCGCTACCCCGGGCCACTGGCGTAGCCTAGACAGGCACGTACTCACCCTGGCTTTCTGCTTTTCAGCCTGGAGCTGTGCGTCGATCTCCTCGGGGCTCGTGTACTGCCGTGCCCGGCCTTTGTGGCCTCCCTTTCTCCCTGCACAAGGATTGGCAGTTGAGGAAGGCCGGTGGGAAGCAGCTGCTTTGACTCCGAGCCCCAGGCAGCTGTCCCGCTCGAGGCGCTCTCATCAGAGGCTGCAGAGACCTCACCCACCCCTCAACAAGCTCCGCCCAATTCCATACTTCCCCACCGTCACGGGTTCAAAAGGACACAAGAGGCACCACGTGACCACCCAACGCACCACCAACCTGTGTGCTGGATGCAGGCTCCCAGGAATAAGACCCGAGAGCAGGATATGGGGGAGGGTACACCGCATGGAGTGACTGGCCAAATCTCCCTTGGAATCCAAACATAGTGGACTCAGATGCAATCACAAGAACGCGTGACATGCCCCTGATGTCACTACAGAGCTTTCTACTTGCAATGCTCTGTCACAGTCGTGGCCTCTTTTAACCCTCAGAACAAACCTATGGTGCAGGAGTCACTGCTGATCCCGTTTTATAGACAAGGAGACTTAAGACCAAGGCAGACGGGTGAAGAGCACAAATGTTGCAGTCCAACCTCTGTGTTCAAATCTCAGCTCACTGCTCACCAGCTCTGTGACTTGGGGCAGGTACTCAACCTCTCAGAGTCTGTTTCTTCATCTCTGTCCCTACCTCAGAGGGTTGTCACAAAGATGGATTTGTCAACACGTGCAAAGCTGTTGGAACAGTACCTGGCACTGAATAAGCTCTGCAAAAATGTTTGCTATGACTGTTACTTTTCTCTCTAATACAGCATTCGCTGGGGGAAAAGAAAGAAAACCAGTGGCCACATCGGTATCTTACTACAGATGTCAGGGAATATAATAAAATATTTCACGTTCACCTAAGTGGTATGACAGAAAGAGAAAACTTCAAACCTAGAGGAGAAAGCGTTCTTATGCTTGGAGTAAGAAATATGGCTTGCAAACAGCGTTAAAGTTGAAAACAGACCTGATTACCCTCCAAGAATTAAAACGTGACTAATAATTACAGTTCATCTAAGAGTATCAGTTTTATAGTCTGACCCTCTTGAGCCAGGACACCAGACTGACTCCTGCTAAAGCCATCAGCCAGATTTATAGCAGAGTGGTACCCCTTCTGCTGGTCCCAGAGGACGGTGGGGTGGCTGTGGCCTCGACCCATCCCCACCTCCCCTGGAAGCGGCAGCCCAGCAGGTTTCCAAAGTCCCTCATTGTGAGCAGAGATCTGTAATTAGACAGCCAGAGCTGGTCCAGACTCCAGAGACAGCAACAGATACTGCGCCCCCCCGCCCCCCGATTTCCTAGACAGCAGCTGCAGAGCGATAATTGCACTGCTACAGACCACACCACCCATTTTTAATGACTACCTGGGTTCCCAAGGGTGTCTCAGTCTATACTCATGAAAGTCCTATTGTGAGAGATCAAGCTTGCCATTAAAAAAGCCAACACCCTTTCTTGCGCTCTTAATATTCCAGACAATAGTAACTCAAAATTGGCTACTATAAGCTCTCATCCTGCACACTTGGCTATGGGATACCGACCTTATCTTGGTCTACAGCGACTTTTATCAGAAGCTCTTCATGCCTTTAAAAATGCTTCACAGTTACATAATGGAAACAAGAGTTGGTCCTTTGCTTTTAGGGAATTTTACACTTTTTTTTTAACATCTTCATGTTTTCTTTTGCTTTTCATGCAATTAAAACAAGTAAGAAATGTAAACCTTGTCTATCCACAAAGCTTTTCACCAGCCAAAAGGCCAAGTCACTTAACCAAGAATTCATATTTAGGATTTTCTAATTGTCACCTCCAACCATGGCTCTAAGTAGCTATTAAGGAGGACTCTACAGCCAGAATTCTGGAGCAGGAAGGGCTCATTTAGCACCCTCCTTTTGCAGAACAGGAGACTGAGGAACACAGAGGAGACATGGCTCTTTCTACTACAGAATAAATCAGTAAGGGCTAGGTTTAAATGGAGCCAGCTCTGTAAACGTGGAACTAGAGAGTCAGGAAGTCATTTCGGTTTGAAAAAGCTCCAAGCAGATTTTCCTGTGGGCTGATGTATTGCAACCAACATGACACATGAGCCATCAATATTACACGAACATCTGTTCTGTGCCAGGAGCTAGCCAGGCACTTCGAGTGCTCATTCATTTCACGACCCTTATCTCCAGCTCTCCAAGCTAAGACTTACTAGCAGGTCTTAGCAGGAAAACAGGCTAGGAAAGGTAACTAACTTGTTCAAGGGAACAAGGTTAGTGACACAGCTGCGCTTCATACTGGCTCAGGGCAAAGACAATGGAGGACGATCTACACCGTACTGGAAAGCCATGGATCCTTTACCTTCTCGGCCAACGCACTGGCAAAGTCTTACAAACAATAGTTAATGATTCCTGGGCACTTAACGACCGCCCGGCACCGGCTTGCGCACTCCCACTCCACGTGGGTTACCTAGTTCAAGCCTCGATCAGCACTATGAGCTGGGTACAATCAGAACCCCCATTTGCAAATGAGAAAACTGAAACACATGGAAGTTAAGCGCCGAGCTCAAAGGCACACATCGAGCCGCCGCCGGAGAAGGCAGCCCGAAGCCAGGTCTGCCAGGCTCGCGAGCACCCAGTTCGGTCTCACTGGGCAAGCCCGGCTCGCCCACAGCCCGAGAGGGTCCACGTTGTACGCGCGAGTCAGGCGGGCCCACTACGGGCGCGGGGCGCGGTGACTCAGTCCCCGGCGAGCCTGGAAGTGGGAGCGGTCTCCAGACCCCCCCGGCAGGAGAAGCGCGCCCTAGATCCCGCCTTCCGCGCCGCCGAGGACCCTGAGCCTCCGAGTCCCCTGAGACCCCCGAGGGAGTGGCTCAAGGCCACTCCGATGCTGCCTCCCATCCGGACAATTGGGCGTCGAGGCCCAGGCCTGGCCCTCCGCCGGCGCGGACGTCCTCCCTCTGCGCCGCTCTCCGAGAACCCGCAGGCTGAGGGGACAGCGGGAGCCGGACTCGGGCGGCCCCTTGAGGCCCGCGGGCCACGCGCGCCCGCCCCTCACCTCCTTTAGGCATCGCGGCTCCGGCAGCTGCGGCGGCGGCGCCTCGAACTGACACCGGAACCGGAAATACCTCGGCCTCGACTTCTTCCGCCCGGTTCAGTCCCCTCCGCGCGCCTCCGCCACCGTCGCCGTGAGGACCGGGGACCTCAGGGAGGCCACGGCACGAAGCCGGAGTGTCCCGCGCGCCGCCTGAGTCCAGGCTCGCCCGCGCGCTGCCGGGCGACAGCGCCCCCGGTCTCCCCGCCCGGGGAGATGTGTGAGCCTGCCGGCCACCCCCCGGGACGTGAGAGCTAAAGGCAAGAGCCGCTCTGGAATTCTATGCAGGCAGATATACAGACACCTAAGATGACGCAATCTCCGCGCGGAGCGGGGCGGGGCTCCGCGAGGACCTTATCCGGAAGAGATCGCCTGGGAAGCGGAAGTTGAGGAATGAGAAGCGGCGGCCGATGGCGGCGGAGGCTTGGGTGAGTGTTTTTTCCTGCTCTCGAGTACTTCGGTAACGGAAGGGGCCAGGGATCGGAGGTCTGCACTGGCCTGGAGGGCGTTCTGAGCGGCCGGACTGGGACAGGTTCGCGCCTCTGGGCCGGGAGGTCGGAGTGAGTTCCCGACAGGAGGCGGCACTTCGCCCGTGGAGATTGGGGGATTCTCCTGCTTCTAGACTTCCCCTGTCCCCCCAGGCGCTGTTTTCTTTGCCGAGAACGTTTTCTGGCTAAATGTTGTTTATTCTTGTAAGCCCCGTTTCTGATGTCGTTCTCTTTATGAACTTTCTGTCCAATCCTGACTGTAACGTCTTCCCTCCCTTCCTCCGAATGCCATTCCACTCGCCGTCTCTCTTTTACCGCCCGACGCCTCCTTCTTCTTGACCTAGTTACCTCCTGCCTGTCACCTCCCCTGGGAGGCTTCCTCTGCCTCTCAGACGGGGCCAGGGCCCTCGAATTTCCCTAGGTCGTGGCAAAATGGTCATTCCGTGTCTTTGTCCTACCAGCCTGTGCGCGCTGGGGCAGAGACCAGATTCCATCCATCTCTAGCTTCAGCTCAGGGGAGACCGGTGCAAAGACCACTGATTTGGAAGTGAGGAGCCCCGAGTCAGAGATAGACTCTGCCAGTTCCCAGCTACGCGACCCTGACTTTCTTTCTTGGAGTTTGATTCCTCATCTGTAAGGTTATTACGGAGCATTCATGAAAGGAGGCTGTCTGTGTCTGTCGGGGAAGAGGGGGTACTTTATAAACCGTCAGGCACCTTATGGAAGGGAGGGACTGAATGAATTTGGGAGAGATGAGTGTGCTGTGCATAAAAATAAGAAACAGTCTGAGTTCTGTTTGCTGGCTAGGAAATGCTGTGTGGTTTGAAGAATGCTTTGCTGTTTAGATTTGGACTGGCCTGATGTATGGGCTTTACGTGACTTGGCTTCATGTAGCATATTTGTTGGGTTTAAAAGAGACCTTGGCGATCTGGCTAATCCTCTGCCGTCATTTTTCAGATGAGACTGAGGACCAGAGAGGGAAAGTGACTTCCTCAAAGTCACAGAGTAATTGGGAGAGCTGGACAAGAACCTAAGCCTGTAACTGAAGAGACCAGAGATCTTTCTCTTACACTCTTGGGAAGCAGATCGCAAGGTATTTTGGTTTTACAGTCATCTTTTTCCCTTTTAAACACTTATCCTCGCGGCTCCCCCAATTATAGACCTCCTCACACTGTATTGTAACTGCCTTTTCCCTGTCTATCTCCTTGCTGGAATGTCACCTTATCAGGGACAGAGGTGGTGTCTTATTCTTTATTCTGTGTTCTCAATATCCAGTACCAGGCTCATTCTTCATGTTAGTTAATGATAACGGCAAATGTATGTTAGCACACATTAAACGCCAGGCCTGTTACATGTAGTTACGATTAGGTCCTCACAATGATCCTGTAAGGTAGGCTCTATTATCCTCATTTTATAGATGAGAAAACAGACATAGGGAGGTGAACGTACACCAAAACTTTGGCTGGTGAGGGCCTTTGGCCATCTGAGGTCCAGATACTAATTCATTGAATCTTTCCCCCCAGCTCTTTGCAGACTTTTTTGTGAGGAAAAAAATGCCCAAAGTCAAAAGAAGCCGGAAAGCTCCCCCAGATGGTTGGGAGTTGATCGAGCCAACTCTAGATGAATTAGATCAAAAGATGAGAGAAGGTGAGTGGGGGAGCTCCTGTCTGGGTGGGCTGTGCCCAAGGCTCAGAGCTCAGGTGCCTCCAGGAGCCAGGCAGAAATGCAAGGATAAATGGGAAGAGACAGGTGGCAGCGCTGTGGCCTCCTGGGACGGACATGTTTTATTTGCTGATTAACTCAGAGGAATATTATAAATGCCAGAAAATAAGATAACACTAATGACAAAGTCCTCACAAATGTTTTTTGGCCAGCTTAAATATAAAAGTGTTAGGGAATACAGATCAAACAGTGTACCTAAAATTATGTACCATTTTGGTTAGATGTACATTCAAAATCATACAAAATATATTTACTTGGAAAATCCTGTACTTTTTCGTTTTGGTATTTTCTGAAATATTTTTATTCACATAGTTGTTGTAGCTTTCTGACACTGTTTTCATCATCATTGAGTTTTTGCATCATCCTCCAGTTTTCCAGAATGCACCATCCTCACTTCCCTCTAAATGTTACATGATTCTGCCCTTTGTGGATCGGTGTCATATGCTGTCTTTGGAAGTTTTATCTGAAGCCACAAGCATCTGTTGGCCTTATATGATCACAGTGCAACAACTTACTGAATTGCTTTTTAAAGTGATTTTTTTTTAAGCTTTTTTGTAACTAATCCAACCCTTGTTATTATGAGGTCAAACCTCTAGCAATAATTACTAATCAGCATTAAATTACTTTGCCTCCTTTTTCCAAAACTGATTGTGTCAGATAACCTCTATTAAATACCCAGAACTTGCCGTAATCAAGGTCATTTTGGGCTGAAAGATTTCTTCCCCAAACAGATCTTTATGCAAAAGAAAAGAACTTGGAGAGTGCTGCAATAGAAGAGATATTGTGAGTCCTTGAAAATAAATCTACTTCCTGTTTTAAGGGATGACTTTTTGGGGAGAGTATTGATGTATGTGATATTCTTTACCTCCAAAAGAAGTATTCTTTCTCCCATTTTTATTTAACCATTTCACCCTTCAGCATTTCTTTGCTTTCCCATTTTTGATAAATACGTGGGTTTAAGACTTGCTATCCCATTACTCTTGCTGCCACTATAAAGGAAGCAGCCCGAGTGGGTGCAGGTGGTGCCAGACTTGGCTTCAGCTCTGGACAGGGAGCTGTCCAGAGAGCTGTGGACAGGGGCAAAAGCTGCTCGTCACCTGGAGCCCATTTTACCATGTACGATGCAGGCTCAGCATTGCCAAATCTGCTGATTTTCCCCCCCAAGAGAAGCCAGAAATTCAGCTGTTTTATGTGAACTCTTCTAAATAAAAATTCAAACTTAAAAAAAACATATTTGTGGGAGCTGCCAAACAAAGCCTGCCTTTAGGCTGGCTGGGGCTGCCAGCTTCCAGATTGTTGCCTGCAGCACAAATTTTGCCTGTGGGATCTGTGGCCATGCTCCAAGGCCACGGAGGACCCTCGTGTGGCCTTCACACAAGGAAGCCCAAAGCCAGTGGCGTTACGAGGCCTGTCCTCCTGATCTGAGGGCTATTTACAGGACAGCTCACACTAACTGAAGTTATCTTAGGAAGGAACATTCTCGTTTTCTCCTTTAGTTTGTCCCCAGTATTTCCTAGCTGAATACAACTACCCAGCTTTCAAGTGTTGGTAGAGCCACTGGTGCCTTATAAGGCCCCAAACAAAAAGAGCCTGAAGATAGGGACTGAGAGGCCGAGATAAGGGAAATTATGTGTGGCAGGGGGTTTTATGGGTGACTGAGAAATAAAGGCACTATCTCTGTCGACTGTAACCAGGACTTATAAATAACTTTACTTTTATAACAACTGAAAATCAAGCATAATGAACACTTGCATAATGAACACTTAATTAGACTTTTTAAGAATAGCACTTTAAAAGAGTTGTTGCCCAAGTGCTGACATGATGGGCAGTTTGGCAATAGCAAAGAGGCTAAAAACCAAAGTCTCATGTATGCCGTGATGCCCGCTACTTCTGGCCTCTTTTCATAGCCTCATAATGGCAGGACTCTACATTGCCCATCAGAAGCTGCCTTCCACCTTGTGTGTGAACCTGTATAAAAGGATACCAAAGAATGTTGACATGATTTTGTGAAAATGGGTCAAAAAGAGATTTAAAAAATGCTGGTGATGCTATGATTAAAAGATTGAGAAATGACTCAAAAGCACAAGGAGAGACCTTCCACTTCCAGGACAGCAGCATAAGGAGCTCCCTCAGTGGTCTTCTCCAGTCACATGGTTTCCCACACTCTCCACCCAGGTGACCAAATGTCTTCTCCAGCCCAGACTCAACACTGAGACTCTATACCAGCTGCCTCTTGCATGGCCCCATTTGGATATCTAGAACCATCTCAAAATTAACATGTGCAGAACTGAATCCTCACTCAGCCGCCCCACAGCTCTTGCCTTCTTAGGCCGCAAACCATGGAGTTGTCCTTGACTCCCCTCGGTCCTTGATTCTTCCTATCCAAGCATCCGAGACATCCAGATTCCTAAAAAGGGTGGCAGAACAGGGAAAATTGTTACAGATAAGGAAGACTTGAGACAGATCAACCACATACAACGTCTGGATGTTGTTTGGAGCTTAATTCCAACACACCCGTTGTCAACAGGTATTTTTGAGGCAATCAGTGAAAATTAAACATGGACCGAGTGGGGCCGGCCTGTGGTGCAGCAGTTAAGTTCACATGCTCTGCTTTGGTGGCCTGGGGTTCACCGGTTCCGATCTTGGGTGCAGACCTACGCACCACTTATCAAGCCATGCTGTGGCAGGCGTCCCACATATAAAATAGACGAAGATGGGCATGGATGTTAGCTCAGGGCTAATCTTACTCAAAAAAAAACATGGACTGAGTGTGGGATACTAATAAGGAATAGTGGTTGATTTTGTTGGGCGGGATATTGGCATTATGGATAGTTTTTTCGAGTCTTTAATATGTTTTAGATACAGACATATTTATGAATGTGATGCTTGATGTTTGAGATTCAGTTTAAAACACTCCAGTGCCCTCCACCCTCAGAAGTGGAGGGAACCACATAAAATAAAAATAGGTGAATGAATGTTAGTAATTGTTGAAGCTGGGTGGTAAGTACTTGGGAATTCAGTATACTGTTTTTTCCTGTGTATTTGAAATTATCCATAGTGAAATCTTAGAAAATTCATGAATCTAAAATCTGACTCCTTTTATGCCATCTGCCCCCACCTGCTGGTCCAAGCCCCCCCACCTCTCCCCTGGATTACTGCAGTAGCCTCCTGCTTCCCCTCTCCCTCCAGCCTTCTCCACAGGGCAGCCAGGGTGGGGGTTTTGAGTCAGATCGTATCACTGTCTGCTCGGGAACCTCCAGTGACTCCCCTCCCCATCAGAGTAAAACCAGAGTTGCTCCTTCCAGGTCCGACACATACTCACCCTGGCTCCCTCAAGCTGCTTGCCCCCATGAGCTAACATCTGTTGGCAATCTTTTTTTTTTCCTTCTTCATCTCCCCAAAGCCTCCCAGTACATAATTGTATATATTCTAGTTGTGAGTGCCTCTGCTTGTGGCATGTGGGACGCTGCCTCAGCATGGCTTGATGAGCGGTGTCATGTCTGTGCCCAGGATCCAAACCATGAAACGCTGGGCCCTGAAGTGGAGCGCGCGAACTGAACCACTCGGTCACGGGGCCGCCCCTACGGTATTGTTAACTATAGTCCCCATGCTGTACGTTACATCCACAGGACTAATAACTGGAAGTTTGTACCTTTTGACTCCCTTCACCCACCCTCCATTCCTACCCCACCTGCCTCGTTTCTTAAGGTCTCTGATTAGATGTACCTTTGTGCCTTCTTTGATCACCTGTATAAGATAGCAGCCGCTCCCCTGCCTTTCCCGACTCACCGTGCCCTTCCATGTTTTTTTTTCCTGTGGCTCTTACCACTTACCACCAGGTGCTGATCTGCTTTCCTCCTGGAACGCAGCTCTGGGCCTCCTCTGTCTTGCCCGCTGCTGTATTTTGGGCACCCAGAGCTGGGCCTCGCCCCTAGCAGGCATGCAATGTTCGCTTGCTGAGTCCTCAACACCTGCATTTTGCTGGGATCACAGAACCGTTTGTGGAGCTGAATTACAAATCCTAGGTAATAGAATGGCCTCCAAGTCAGAGAAAGGGAGGTCTGGTTTTCTTGACCACTCCTTGCCTTTGTCCTCTGCTCTGAAAACTGAGAGGAGGTGGTAGACAAAGATCAACTCATAGCTGCTTAAGGGAAAGAGAGTTTCCTTGTGGCCGGTGTGAGCTGCTCGCTGACCCCACACGTCTTGACAGAGCAGTTATTCTTGCAGGCCCACTGTGCTGAGAACTTGCAGACTTGTCCAGTTTGGGTTTTTTTCTCATCCCTAAAGGACTTTAGTTGGGAAATGGACTTAGAGGTACCTTAAAGATGATTAGGATGCCCATCTGTGGGCCCAGAATTATCTTGAGAAACTGTTATGCTGTAGAAATAGGTGTGGAGGGGGCCAGCCCCATGGCCGAGTAGTTAAGTTCACGCACTCGGCTTCGCCGGCCCAGAGTTTCACAGGTTCGGATCCTGGGCGCAGACATGGTACCGCTCATCAGGCCACGTTGAGGCGGCGTCCCACATGCCACAACTAGAAGGACCCACAACTAAAACATACAACTATACTGGGGGGATTTGGGCAGAAAAAAATAAAAAAAGATTGGCAACAGTTGTTAGCTCTGGTGCCAGTCTTTCAAAAGCCAAAAAGAAATAGGTCTAGAAGGATAAACAGCAGGGTGTTAACAGAGGTTTTCTTTGAACGATTTTTTTCAATCTTCGTTTTCTAATTAAAAGCGCATTTTTAATTTAAAACAATTGTTTAATCATGTGGCTGCTTATCTTTTTTAATATAACAGCTCTGTTGAGATACAAATCACATACTGTAAAATTTGCCCTTTTAAAGTGTTCAGTTGAGGGGTGTTTAGTATATTTATGGAGTTGGGTCACCATCACCACAATTAATTTTACATTTCATCACCTCCAAAAGAAACCCCATACCCTTTAGTAGTCATCCTCCCCCTCCATTTTCTGTCTCCCAGTTCAAGGCAGCCGCTCATCTCTGTTCTGTCTCTGTAGACAGAGTCCTACAATAGGTGGGCTGTGGGGACTGGTTTTTCACTGGCACGTTTTCCAGGTTCACCCATGCTGTAGCATGTATCTGTACTTCCTTTTCACGACTGCATAATCCGCTGCAAGGGTAGGTGACATTTTGTTTATCCATGCATCAGTTGATGGACCCTGGGGTTGTTTCTGCTGTTTGGCTGTTGTGAGTAATGCTGCCGTGAACATTCACACACAAGCTTGTGTGCGCACGTGTGGTTTTCAGCTTTCTTGGGTATATTCCTAGGAGTAGAATTGCCAGGTCATCTGATAACTCTATGTTTAACTTCTTGAAGAACTGCCAGACCATTTTCCACAGCAGCTGCGCTATTGTACATTCCCGCCAGCAGCATCTAAGGATTCTAATTTCTCCACATCCTCAACACGTGTTACTGCCTGTCATTTCGATTGTAGCCACCCTAGTAGGTATAAAGTCCGATTCATTAACTCTAGTTATTAAAAAGATAACACTACATCCTGTGCAGATTAACCCTACCCCCCAAAACAAAACAAACACGCACTTTGTTCTCCCCAGCTGAAACAGAACCCCATGAGGGGAAGAGGAAAGTGGAATCTCTGTGGCCCATCTTCAGGATCCACCACCAGAAAACCCGCTATATCTTTGACCTCTTCTACAAGCGGAAAGCCATAAGCAGAGGTAACGGGCTAACTTCTCTCTTGGCCTTTCCAGCTAGTAATTTAAGTAATGGCTCTTATTCTTGCAACCTCAGCAAGTGTCATGATTTTTCTTACCAGTGTAAAAGGGAGAGGGGCCAGTGTTGGCTAAATACTCTATAACTATGGGTGGTGATGGGCTGGGTTGGGGAAACTCTGTTAAACCTAATCTGAGGCCCTTCCCCATCTTTTTGACAGAGCTATATGAATATTGTATTAAAGAAGGCTATGCAGATAAAAACCTCATCGCAAAATGGAAAAAGCAGGGCTATGAGAACTTATGCTGCCTGCGGTGCATTCAGACACGGGACACCAATTTTGGGACAAACTGCATTTGCCGGGTCCCCAAAAGCAAGCTGGAAGTGGTAATGTCTCCACCCCTGTAATGTCTGACAGTTGAGTTTGATGTTTTTTTCAGTTCACAATTCTGCTCCAGTTGACACCAAGGGATTTCACACTAGTTTGCTGGGCTGGAATCTAGTTTTGTCCTGGGACGTCCTGCTGGCCATCCCCCCTGGGAGTCGCTCTCTTCAGGAAGCCATGCTAGGCAGTTTGGCAATAACCCTGTTGGTTAGGTCTGGGAGCCAATCTCACCTCCATCTTTGGGAAACTGATTGAATTCCTTTCCTCACTTACGAAATGGGGATGATTTAGTTGGGTTTCACCATCGGATCTCGTTTGCATAGCCAAGGGTCTTGCTCCTCCAAAGAAGAGGAAAAGAGAAAATAAACACAGACCACTGCTCTGGGGTCTTCTGTCCCCTGGGCAGGCCCCTGGCCAGACATCGGGCCACACCTGGCCTGGGGACGAGAGGGTTCTGCTGCCATAGAGATTCAAGTACACACCCTTCTTCCCCCCTGTGCCCCCACTAGAAAGTTCCCCAGCCCAGAGGAGGCCCTGAGGCCCCTGGCACTGAGCCCCCTGAGCAGTAGCAGACCCACCTCCAGCTCATTGCAGGATATGACATGCTTGCTTTACAAATAACAAGAATCATTCACACAGTTTTCCCCCTCTTTGCAGGGGCAAGCGTGTAAATTAAAGTTGCATATATTAAATGCGAGTAGAGATGGAACTTCAGTGTCAACAGCAGCTGTTTGCATCTTCATGGGGGAACCTGATTTCCCCCATCCAGAACTGTCACAGAGGGGCTTCTGAGGAGTGTCCTGTAGGGAGTCAGTGTCCTGTTGCCACCTCTGTTGGCGGGAGGATTACTGTGCGTGTGCACGTGTGTGGGAGTGGCGTGTGGCGGGCACAGTGTCTCAGCCGTCCTCTGTTGCAGGGCCGGATCATCGAGTGCACACACTGTGGCTGCCGGGGCTGCTCTGGCTGAGGCCCCTGGCCCTCACCCATCTCCACCCTGGACTTTGGACTTCACAGGCTTCTGCCACCCCCTTTCCGAGGAGCAGCTCTTTTCACAGAGCGGTGCCCCAGGCCTGAGCAGAGGCATGGTCTCTACATACGAAGGCTTTGCTGTTCATCAGATGTGATTTGTAGAAATAAAACTTTTAAACCTTTTGGGCCCTGCGTTCGTTCTTTCACAGAGCCAGCTGGAACCCATTGGGAGAGTGCAGGCCCTGGAGACCGCTTGCCCTTGGCACTGGATCCTGACTCCACCTTGTAGGTGATGCGTGACCATGAGCAGTTCACCTTCCTCATCAGTGATGGGGGTGACAACTTCTCAGGCAAGGATGGCCTGAAATGACACAGCAAGGTGGCTCAAGCTGCTCCTGGATCTGCTGTGAACTTGTCAGCACCCTGGGCCCAGCGTTTGTCCTTGTACCCACGCCTGCAAAATGCTGCAGCTCTTACTCTGAGCCAGACCTTTCCCTCATGCTTGAGGCCACACCAGCATGTTCACGTATCTTTAATATGAACGGGACTCCTGGGGCTCCCACAAAGCACTGTGAAGGCCGTGCACTTTGTCCCATCTCTGCTGGCAGTCCCCGGGGGCCTCCCCATCACCTGCCCCCAAGGCCTCCATCCACGTCGGCCTTGGGGATGGTGTCTTGGTCCCCCTTGGGCTTGGTCCGGAACTTCTGCCATGGGTGGGGGGTTTCCTCTGCCGGCATCACTTTCAGCCACTGCTTATAATAAGCTCGGAAGCCATCAATCTTCTCCAAGTAGGTGTTTTTCCCTTTGTACTGTAATTGGAAGAGTACGGGGTTTAGAGGAGCCATGATTAGGATCACTGCATGCTACCTACAGCTAATCCCAAACCATGGCAGCCGGCTCAGGCCTCAAGGAAGCTGTTCCTGCTTCCAGGTGGTTAAGGGGAAAGGGCAGAAAGGCTGTTCAATACCGAGTAGCTCACTGGCGAAAAAGTTGCTGTTCCATGGGCTAACAATCCTTCCCAAGTAGGTGCTGCTCTGCTCCTGTACCCAGGGGTAGGAGCCCCAGCCCACAAGCTAGAGTGGCGGGGTGCCCCCAAGCCTGCCTCCAGTCTGCTGAGCACCTCCTCCTTGCCACAGCCACTGCCTCTGACCATCCTCAGTGGTAGTGGTCTAGCGTGGTCTCCTTGGAGAGGTGGGAAGCAAAGGAGGAAACGATGCACCAGGCAGACAGCAAAAGGAAGCTGGTAGAGGAATACATAGGAAAAACAAAGTATCAGAGAGAGAGACTGCTACCACATGGTGATAAAAGGGTTGATTCGAAAGATTTAACAATTCTAAACTTGTATGTACCTAATATAGCCTAAAAGCATACAAAGCAAAAACTTGACAATCACAAATAGAAGTCAGTCTGTTGTCATAAGGGAGTGCGGATGTATGGTTTGAATTCAATAAGCTTTAGGACTGTGGTAGTCTGGTGACTGCTGACTGAACCTGAGAAGACCCCTAGTGGGCCCTACACTCTAGAGTGAAGACACAGTCCAGTAACTAGAAGATATCTGTAACATGGAACCAACAAAAGACTAGTATCTAGACTATATAAAGAACTCTGAGGAATCCATAAGACAAGACTAACAACCAACTCTTCAAACATGCCCGGCTCTGCCCTCCGCCTGACATACTCTCCACTGCTGTCTCGCTAATTCTTACTGAGCCTTCAAAGTGGCGCGTGAGTGTCGCACCAGCCCACACATCCCTGACCCCGTGTCCCCATGGCTTAGTGTGTCCTTGCTGCCTTGTCTCCTTCCTCACTGGGATTGTGCTCCTCCAGCCACGGCTACTGTGGAGCCGGTCAGCACAGGGTCTGACTCAGTAGACCTAAAAACCGAACCCTCGGAGCCAGATAGCCTCAGAATGGCAGGGACAGAAGTGGCCATGACAGAACATTCCATCACTGCCCTACTGCCATCCACATTCACTCAACAAACCACAGTCTGTATTGGGCACCAGGCATTGACCGGACAGGGACCGGGGACCCAGGTGAGGAAGGCAGACGGTCTCCACCTCTAGGGGCTTATGGTTGTGTGAGGGCAAGAGTGACACGTGAATTAGAGGCTGTGGAACACGGTGAAAAGGACTAGTGCTGTATGTTGACAGGAAGGGAGGCAGGCAGGGGGCATCTGAGAAAGCCGTTTAGGCTGAGACCTATAGGATGAGCAGCAGCCAGGTATGTGAGGAGCAGGGGGAGCCTGGTCAAGGCAGAGGGAACACAAAAACCCCGGGGCAGGAAAGCGGCTGGTGGTGTCTTCAGAAATGACGGAAGGCCGCTGGGACTGACAGTGAACAAAGGGAAGAGAGGCCTGAGATGAAAGAGCCATGTGGACAGGAACTCGCAGGCTGTGGTCTAAGGAGTCTGGAATTTCTCCTGAGGGAAGCCACTGACAGTTTAAAGCAAGGGAAGGCCAACCCTAGCAGCCAGAACCAGGGGTGGGGGTGGTGCTGGTTAAGGAGACAACGGGCACGTTAGAGCTTGGTGCACAGACCCGGTCAAAGGTGGGTGGGTACTGGGCGGCGAACTCCAGCTGGCGGATGACCACTTCATTCACGGGCACGCTGTTCCGCCTCATGTCCTTCAGGATGTCGATGAGATAGGTGTAGTCCAGCTTCTTGAGGGCGGCGTTGATGAGGGTGCTGTAGATGTGGGTGTTCGGGGTCATCTGGGATTTCTGAAACAGCACAGACACAATCAGCGAGATGACGGTGATTGCTGGGACAAAGCAGCCCGCTGTGGCATGTCCAGCCTGGGCCATTACCCTGCCAGTCAGGTCTGCTCAGCTGACCAGCGACCAGGGACAAGAAGGGCAGAAGCTTGTAGCAACAATGGGCTGCAGTGCCCTCCAAAAGGAGAGCACGGGCGCCCCACTCTGTGCTTCCATCCCACCCTGCTGAGGACCCCGCCCTCCCAACCTGCAGAGCTTGGAGAGAAGGACGAGTGTTGCTCTCAGAGATCAATGGACTCAGGCAGAAGACCACCGCCTCAGCTCTCGGCTGTGATTTACTGCACCCCCCGTCCCCCAAGAATTCTGATACATCCCTGCTCCGGTAATACCCTCCACCCCTTCAGAGGGTTGGGGCCAAGACCTGTCCCCACCCCTCAATCTCACCCCACTGCCACCACCTTCAAGATGGTAATACCCCTTGCTTTCACTGGCCATTCCTGCAGCGGCTCACCAGGGTCTACTTTCTCCCAAATGGGGCCAATGACCATTCTACACTTGAAGTGAGAGCAGCCCCACTCTCCATGCCCCACCCCCACCCCCACACTGTTTACCTTCTGGGTGCAGAGGCCTGTGGGGTTCAGGAGGCCCCCACTTCCCCCCACCCAGCTTTCTTCCTGAGCACCCCCAGCACCACGGGTCTTGTCCAGGTCTGGGCCCACTCACCTTCATGTCTGCAAGCAGCTGCAGACCGTCCCGGGGCCTGCGGCACCCAATGGCCAGATTACAGAACGTCTGCAGGTTGGGGACAATTCCCCTCTTTGCCAGGACTGGCAGTAGTGCCTGTGGGGACAGACATGGCATCACAGTAAGCTGTGACCCACCAGCCCTGGTGACAGCCTTCTCTGGTACAGCCCGTGCTGGACACTGGACACCCCAGGGGCACGGCTCTGCTCAGAGGCCTCCTGGCTCCCTCTGCTGACCACACTGGGCACTGGCCCCAGTCCGGCATTCAAGGGCCCCATGTCCCGTCCAGCCGTCTCTCAGGGCCCAGCTGCCCGGGATTCGGCTGCTCTGCAAGTGCACCCTGCCTTCCAGCCTGCCTGTCTCCCGCATGCCCTCCCTTCTCCCTGAACGCCCTTCACATTCCTGCCCCTCCCCGCTCCCCCACTGGCCATCCAACCCTGCACTCGGGCCTTCGAGCAGCAGGGTCCCTGGGGGCTCACGGTCCCCCACTCCATGGTGGAAGACAATGCTGACAACAATCTGAGAAGCGCTGGCTGAGGGGCCCCAGGCTAGGATGAGGAAGAGGACGCCTGCTCAGCCTGGCTGGCTCAGGGAGGGTCCCGGGGAGGGGCTCTATCACATCTGGCTTGTCTGGAGAAGGGTGTGCTCTGCACTGTGGGCTGAAGGCAGAGGCTGTGTCTCTGTCACATGATGCTCATGAGTGCCCAGGTCAGCGCTTCTGGCAAAAAAGGCTTCATATGGAAATGAGTGGAACAAATGGACAAAATCCTGAGGGCCCACGTCCCCACCTGTGAAATGGGGAAGCTGCCTGGTGTGGTTACTAAAGAAACAAACAGATGTGAAGCTCTCAACACAGCGTGTGGCACCAGGTAAGTGCGATGGCAGTGTCAGGGGGAGGTGGCTAAGGCATGGGACACTCAGGCATCATTATGAGCCACCCACCTCTTGAGCCACATGTCCCCACAGCCCCCTGTAGCCATTGTGCCCCTCGTCAGTGTGAGGGTGTTTGGCATTGCCTCCCACCAATCTGTGAGCTCCTCGAGGCGGGCGGCTGGCTAGGTTCCCAGCTTTTCACTCCAGCGCAGGCCCAGAACAGGGGCTCCGGTCCGTCTGCCCACCGACGGCGGGACGGATGGCAGACCTGGCAGGGGAGCCAGGTCCTGCAGTCGGAGGGTCAGAGGAGGGAAGGGGAAAGAGGGGCCCCAGTCGAGGGCCCCATGCCTGCCTCTGCACACCTCACCTTCGCCCCCTCCAAGTCACCCAGCTTGCTCTTCTTCCTCATCAGCGTGTTGAAGAACGTCACATCAGCCTCCACCTGGTGCGTGTCCAGGATGGTCAGCAGCGAGGACTCCGCGGGGCTCCCGGGCTCCACCACCTCAGCCAGCAGCGTGAGGGTTTTGATGTCGGGCTGGAGCCCATGCTCCGCCATCTGGCCCAGGAAGCCCTCCAGGCCCCCCATCAAGGCCAGTCTGTCGGCTGGGGTGGCCACAGTCCCAAAGGAGACCACATTTGGGGAGACCGCCCCCAGGGTCAGGAGGTTGGCCTTCAGCCTCCAAGGAGGTGGCTCTGGGGTCACGGAGGCAAGGGCCACTGTGGGATCAGGCTCCACCTTGGTTTCCACCTCAGTCTGGACCTTGCCAGGGGCTCTAGCCTCCTGAGGCTCTGGAGGCCCCTCAAGAGCCTGAGAAGGTTCCAGAAACAGCTGCCTCTCCAGGGCCTCCACATGCAGCCTGGCTGACAGGCCGTCACCCATCCTGGCCCGGGCTCTCCTCCTTGCCCGCCGCCCACTTGCTGAGGCTCGGAGCAGGACCGTCTCCTCCCTGGGCCTCAGAAGCAGCGCTGAGGCCACCTCTGGGTCCCCCAGGCCGCAGTCCCGAGCTGCCCCCAACAGCAGGTTGTAACCATGCCGGCTCGGCTGGAGCCCCAGACTCAGCATCTGCCTCCACACCTGCCGGGGAGAGACAAGCCTCAGCTCTGTGCTCCCTCTAAAGGAGCAGGTTCTGGGAGCCAGCAATCAGCCAGAAAACGCGAAGGGCGCGAGAAGGACCCGGAGAGTGTCTAACCCAACACCAGTCTCTGGGCAACTAGGAATCCTAAGGATCTGGGGACTCTGGGACACTTCACGGGGGTGCCAGTCCTTTCCTCTCTCTAGCTCACCCCAAAACCATTCTTGCAGTTCCATCCCTCTGCCCTCTCCCAGGACCCCTGCACCAGGCGACAGGCTTTGTCCTGGGTCTCTGCCCATCTTCTCTGCACTCCCCTGGGGAGTTCAGTGCGGGGGTCTGGCAGCTCTGTTTCCTCGAGAGATGAGATCATTTTCATCCCACAGTGTGGTGTCCATACACTCGGTGTGTGCTCCAGCACCAGGCTCTGCCTGGCTGAGTCCTGCTCCCCCGGAGCCCACTCCACGCTCTCAAAGAAGTGTGAGAAGGCTGCACGGGGCAGTGTGCACAGTAGGCACTCAGGAAGTGCAGCCGAACCCAAACCTTAAGTTGGCCTAGACTCTTCCAGAACCTAGCTTCTCTGGCCGTCCCTCCTCAGGGGAGTACAGGTGACCGACCCACTCTGATTATGTCTGGGTGGTTCTGACACCAAGACTGCGCCATTCCTAAGACGCCGCACAGGCTCACTGGTCTCACTTGCTCCTCTGTCTGCGGGCTTCACGGGAAGCCACACCGCAGTGGGGCTAAGAGCGTGACTTCCTACCTTCATCAGGGACAAGTGTGCAGACGAGGCGGGGCGGGTCACCTGGCAGGAGGACTGCTGCCCACTGGACAGGGTCTCGAGGAAGGCAAGGGTCTTGGCAGCCACTTCCATGGGGAATGTTGACAGAACCGAGGATTAGCAGGGACACACAGATGCTACCCCATGGCAGCAGGGATTTGGGCTGCAGAGTCATACGGACCCTGGTTCAAATCCTAGCTCTGCCATTTAGTGGCTGTGGGACCTTAGACAGTTACTTACCCCCTCTGAGCCTCAGTTTCATCTGTAAAACGGGGCTAATGGTGCCTAGCTCGAGCAGTTTAATAAGTGCGTGACACAAACTGGCTGTTAGCATTACAGACCGTTTCTAACTAGAACAGATCTAGGCCGAGGAGTCGTAGGAACTAGATCTTGGCTGGTTTTCACTAAAAAGCAGCCAGAGGGCAGCCAGCAGCCCCTGCTTCCAGGGAGTCTGCAGAGGGGAGGCAACTTTGGTCCAGGGCTGCCCAGGTCACTGGGGCTCAAACTCCGTGTGGACCGACCACCTGGGGATCTTGCTGAGATGCAGATCTGGACGCAGTAGACCTGGGCGGGGCTGAGACTCTGCACTGCTGACAAGCTCCCAGGTGACGCTGATGCCGCTGGTCTGTGGGCCCCACCCTAAGTTGGAGGGTTCTACGTGGGCTTCACGTCCTCCTCAGCTCTGAGAAGCTAGGAAAGCAGCGGTGGCACTTCTAATATCACCTCCCCGCTTGATAAGGGGGCCCTCTCTGGGGGTCTGAGGTGGGATTAGAGCAGTGTGTCTCAACTCTGATATCCTTGAGCATCTCTCAGGATGAAATGCAGGCTCCTGGGGGCCCCCTGTAGGGACGCTGAGTGGGGGGCTGTGGCAGATGGGTTGTGAGCACCCCAGTGGGCATGCTGTAGGCATTCAGGGACCATAAGCTCAGCGGATTTCGGCTGGCTGCCCAGAAGGCCACCCAGCAGAGTGGGAGAGTGTGGGCCGGCTGCGCCCGCACTCAAAGGACAGCCAGGCCGCCTCTGTGGGCCTCCTTTCCCTTACACCCATAAAACAGGGAAGCACTGTGCTCTGGTAAGGCCAAAAAATCACAAATATAAAAACACCCAGCACACGGCAGTAGCAGGTGCTCAAGAAATGCACACAGGATCGTGACTTCCACCTGACGCAGGCGCACGGGGAAGGGGGAGAGGCGGGAGGGCAGAGCCGGAGGGACAGACCTGCAGGGCGGACCGGAAGCCTGTCTTCTTGTCCTGGATGCAGCCCATGAGCAGGAAACTGAAGGTCTCCTCTGTGACTGCATGCCCTTTGTGAACAATTTCCTGGGGGAGGGAATGAGGAGGTCCCACTGAGCTCCTGCCACCGAGCCCTGGCCCAGCCCGACGTGCCTGACTCAGGGCCGACACTCTGGGGCAGGCCCTGGTCTAGAGCGCCCATGGAGAGGTGGGGCCTGAATGTGGCTCTGCAGCTGGATCAGAACCAGCTCCGGAGCAGAGCTGTCCAACTGGTGCCTGCACTCCTCCCCCTCTCCCCCCGGCCTCTCTTCCTGGCTCTGCTATTATCACTTCTGCACAGCCCCTCTGCAAAGACCACCCCAGTGGCCCCTTTTAGGCGCTGTCCTCGAGGCTCTGGAACTGCACAGAGGTAGCTTTAAGCCCCGGCTCCACCACTGGCCAGCGTGGGGGTGGGCAGGCATCAAGCTACCTGGTCTCACTCTCCCCCTCCGTGGAGCGGGGTCACCCGCAGGACCCGCCTTAGAGGATCTCTGGAACGACCCCACGAGATGGCGTGCTGCCTGCCCAGGGCAGAACAGCTGCCGTCCGCCTCTCACGGGCGTGTCTGGGTTGGCCATTGCCTTCTTGAGATGTCCCTTTCACCTCTCAGCACCTCGGTGTCTCCTCCTGGAGCCTGTCTTCCTCTGCCCCTCTTGTCAGCTCCCAGCCCCACTGCTGCCACTCCCCTGCCTCCTCCTCTGTCACCAACTCTTGCACGTCACTGAGGCTTTAGTCCATGCTCTCCCTTCCTGGACAAGCACAGCTGTCTCTTAATTGGTCCCTCGCCCCGACCAGCCACAGTGACCTGCCTAAAGTACCAATCTGACACCTCTGGACAGCTCAGGCCAGAGGCCTATCAGCCATGCTGCCCTCTTCTGGAAGCTTCAGGTACCTGCCTTGCACATGGCACCCTATGGAGAGATTTATCACTCACAAGGATGTCTCCAGGCTCGAGACCTCATGATCCTGCCTCTTCAGCAGGGCGCGCCAGCTCAAAGCAGCCAACCCAGGGATTGACCAAAGGCTGCTGTGCACCATCTGGTGCCTGGCCAGCCCATCAGCCCCTCTCTCCTGGGATGGGGAGGCGGGACCTCACCACGTGCAGTGAGGAAAAGTGTCGGTCAGCGATGGCAGGAGCGAGACAGAAAGCAGCCTAGTCACAGTGGGCAGAACTTAAGAGAGGAGAGAGCACCGCACCTGTGGCGCCTGTGGGAAGAGCAGGAGGACAAGGCTGCCAGGGTGAGCTGACCCCCACACTGCCCTGGTTCTCCTGAGGCTTGGCTGAGGGAACCGAAAGCCTTGCCTGCTTCCCACAAGCCTTTGTTCAGGTGTTAACTCGCATCTGCCTCGCCTCCCTGCTACCTGAGAACCACCTGCTTGTGGTCTTTCCTGCTCAAACTCCCTCCTGGTCTCCCTCTCCGTGAACTGGGAGTAAAACTCTTCTTACAGGGTGGCTGGGGAGTAGAAGAGGCTGTAGGCCAAAGCCTTAACGCCGATGGGCCCCAGCTCAGCGCGCCCACGCCTCCACTCGCCTGTTTCCTGCAAATCTGACACACTCACCAGCCGGACTCCACAGCCCCCTGGACACCAGGACTTCTGCGCCCTCTGCTCTTTCTAAGCAGGAGGCCCTCCCCTGGGAGCACTGACTCATCCTGAATGCTGTGAAGCCCACCCTCCTCCAGGGCACCCACACAGCGGGACACAGCACGCAGCAGCACACACAACTCACCCCATCATGGGGCTCGGGGCCTGTCCGACCGTCAGACCGAGGCCTCTGAGAGCAGAGTCTCAGGATTCATCTGTGAAGCCCAGGGCCCAGCATGGGGTTTGTCTCACTGGCCCCTGAGCCCTCCTGCGTGAAGGACACAGACAGCCGCAGCCTCACGCTGACACACGGGACTGTCAAGAAGGAAGAGTCACCCCCACCTTGAACACATCGAGGCACATCCTGAGGTCAGCGCACATGGCAGCCATCTTCAGCAGGGCGTGGTACGTTTTCAAGTTGAGCTGGAAGTTTCTGGCCTGGAGCTGCTGCCGTAGCTTCAGGGCGCTCTGCAGGGCAGAGTCCTTCCAGGGGGACTCAGCGCAGACATTGAACAGGGCTGTGTAGGTGGCATCTGAGGGCTCCAGGTCCCGCTTTTTCATCTGTGGAGAAACAGAGGTGGCTCCAGGATCAGCTGGACGCACAGGTGACAATCACCTTGAGAGGAAGCTACAGAGGACTCCGTTGCCACATTACACACACCTGAGAGAGGGGTCTGTGCTAAGGCAGAGCTGAGTGACATGTCATAGCTCGGCTCTCCAAACCCCCGACTCAGCCTGAGAGAACTCTGAAAACTGAGCCAGCACTCTAGACACACCGGACAAGAAACGACCCTTCCCCCAGCGCTTGTCAGCCCATCCTGAGCCTGAGGTGCTTTGCAGCGGGGTCCTCCCAACGTTCCCACCCCTGGCCGACCAGGGCGCCCCAACTGCTAAGGGGCCATGGGATGGGTCTGGTCTGGGAAAGGCTGGGAGGGGGCAAGCGAACCCCAGCTCTGGTGTTTACTAACTGAGGGGTCATGCAAGTTAGCTCGTCATGGGAAAAATCAGATGATACTGTCACCTTGAAAGGCTGTTGCAAAGGTCGGGTAGGAGAGTGGCCCCCGGACCAGCAGCCGCCAGGAGCGAGTTACTGCGGCACCTCTCAGGGCCCCCCTGCCCTGCTGGGTCATAAACCCTGGGGGACAGTCGACGCTGTGCTGATCACGCTCTTATCAGGGTCACTGAACACACTCCCTGGTAAAGGCCAAGTGCCCGCTGTTTCCTAGAGAAGGGCCAGCTGCCTGAGGGCAGGTGTCCGAAGAGTATAAAGAGCAGTTAGAATGAGGCCATTTGGGTCCCGAATCCCAACTCCAGCACTCTGGGGTAGGGTAACCTTGGACACGGCCTTCATGTCTCCGGGCCTCAGTTTCCTTAACTGAAAATGAAGAGGGGTGAGGATGGGGGTGAGAGAGAAGGAACATGGACAAACTGGGGGTGGCAGTGGAAAGGGAAGGGGAGAGGTGGGGCCTGCCATGGTCCAGGCCGGTGCTGAAGGACGTTTCACACCATCTCATGTATTTATCCACGGTCACGTGCATTTCACAGATGGTGAAACTGAGGCCGGAGAGGTTCAGTCATCCGCCCAGGGTAATGCACTAGCAGGTAAGGATCTGCACCTAGTTTTTTTTCTCTGTTTATTTTTTTGGTGAGGAAGATTGGCCCTGAGATAACATCTGTTACCAATCTTCCTCTTTTTTTTGTATGTGGGACACTGCCACAGCATGGCTTGATGAGCAGTGTGTACGTCTGTGGCCAGGATCCAAATCTGCAAACCCTGGGGCAAACTCTGACCTCTGAAGCCGAATGCACAGACTTAACCACTCCACCTCTGGGCCAGCCCTGCATTCAGCTCTTTTTTGTCCCAAAGCCCACGTTCTTTGGAGCCTCGCCCCTGCCGCCCCTGCGCCCCACACTCACGTCATTGTAGAGCTTGAAGGCCTTCTTCAGGTAGCCGGCCCGCCCGCAGCCCCCGATCAGCACTGTGTAGTTGCACTCAAGGGGCTGGAGTCGCTCTTCCTTCAGCATCTGTCTCTCAAATAGGTCCAGAGCCTCAGCCAGCTGTGTCGGGGAGGAACAAGGGTGGGGCTCAGGGTGGCCCCAGAGACCCTCAGCAGAGGGAGGGAGACTGAGGCTGAGGGACCCTCCCTGGGGCCCAGACCAGGCCTGCCCAGGAGTCAAGCACCCACCCTGGGCCTCTGCCACCAGCCTCTTGGTCCCTGTGCTCTGCAGCAAGGGAGCTTCGTGGTGACCAGGAAGGAAAGCCCACTGGACTGCCAGCACCTATGGGAGCTCTTGGCCCCACTGCAACGGCTGCCTCCCCTCCAGCAGGATAGTGAACTCCTTGAGGGTGGGGCCAGTCCTTGCATATCTGTGGGCCTAGAGTGGAGCCCGGGCCTGGCACTCAGGAAGTCCTCAGAAAATGCTAATTCCGTGGATCCCAGGATCTGCCTGTCCTTGCTTCCTCGGTGACCACATCTGCAGTGCCAGCCCCCTCCGTCGGAGCTGACAGGAGTCTGGGTTCTGGTCACTTGGTGGGGACGCTCAGAGTCACTGTGCTGCACAACTGCAGGGGGCCATTCACAGGGACAGCCTCCTGAGATGGCACAGGATGGCAGCCCTGGGTGACTAGCTTCCTCTGACTGCAAACTCCCTTGGCCCTCAGTTGTCTCTGTCCCATCCCGACTCCTACACCATCCCCTTTAAATCCTCAGTTCACTCCTTTACCACTTAATTATTTTTTTCATCCATTCATTCAACCAGTAATCATTGAGTCCTACTATGTACCCGGCAAGGTCTATTTGCTGGGGATACAGCTGTGAATAAGACGGAGCTCCCTCGTGGAGTGTATCAGCTAGTGTAGAAAGACAGATGCCAAATGAGATAACTGAGAAAAATACACAGTATGTCAACGGCAATAGGTGCTATGAAAAAAATAAAGCAAAAAGTGCCAGAAGATGGGTGTGGGAGATTCAGTTTTAGACATGAGAGCCAAGCAGGGCCTCACCCAGAAGGTGACAGGTGAGCAAAGATCCAAAGGAGGCCAGAAAAAAAGAAGGAGCTACGTGGCTATCTGAGGGAATAGCCAGTGCAAAGGCCCTGAGGCAGGAGTGTGCCTGGGAGTTGGAGGAACAGAGAGGAGGCAGGGGTGGCTGCAGCAGAGTAAGTGAGCGAGGGGGAGATGAGGGCACAGAGATAAGGGGGGTGGAGGGCACATCGTGCAGGCTTCATAAGCCACTGTGAGACCTTTGGCTTCTCTTTGTTTATTTCTCAACTTTTCATTATGGAAAATTTCAAATATACACGAAAGTAGAGAGAACAGTTTAACTACAATGATTATTAATGTTCAGCCAATCTTGTTTCATCTATACCCTGCACTCTCCTCCAACCTGAATTTTTTAAAACAAATTCCAGACATTCTATCATTGCATTCACAAAGTCTTCAACACGTACCTCTAAGAGATTGTTAAACAGAAACAGAGTGTTGTTATCAATATCTAAGAAAGTGAACATCACTAGTGTCAGTGAATACAGTGGGAGTTCTGGAGAGAGCAGTAACACTGTCTGCTCTATGCTTTAACAGGACGGCTCCGTGCTGCCAGCCAACATCTGGGCAAGCGGAGGAGAGAGCCCCGGGGAGCCCAGTGCCAAGTGTCACAGCAGCTGAGGGGGGCGAGGAGAAGGCTGGGCCTGGGCATTCAGGGGTGGGGTCATGAGAAGTATTAGGACTGGTGATGCTGTGAAGCCAGAAGTGGTGAGAGAAAGAGAAGAGCGGGGGCGAGCTGAAGGCATTCGGCCTGGGCGGATGGCACAACGCCAGTGCTCTGCAGCGAGATGAAGAAAGTGTAGGGTAAACGAGGTTGGGGAAAAAAAATTTCGGTGGATGTGGGTAAGTGTAAGACAGATGGCGAGGAGGAAGCTGGATACACAAATTGGGAGACCACGGGAAGGCCAGGCTGGAGATACAAGTGCCAGAACTGCATCGAGGAGGGGGGCACTGAAAGCCAGGATGCTGGCGGGTCACCTGGCACAGCACCCAGGGTGAGTGAAGCCAGAGGAGAGAAGAGCCCGGAGCATCCCAAGATTTGGAGATTGGGAACGCGGGGCCCCTCACAGACCACCGAGCCAAGGGGAAGGACGAGCCAGGGGCAGCAGAATCACCTTTCCTTCCTTGATCAGGCGTTTGCACTGAAAGAAGTACCAGTAAGGAGTGTTTCTCCGGCCCCGCCATGGTTTTGGCTCCGGCTCCCTTTCCTCGTCTTCTTCAACACTCTGTTCCCTGAGCCGCAGGTTGTACAACTGGGCTGTCGATTTGCGGAACATTCTCCGGGAAGAGTATTTGTCAGAGAGGGTCCCAAAGCTTTCCTCCTCCTCTTCCTCCTGGGTGGCTGTGGGGCTGGGCTGGCTGGGGTCTGAGCTGAGGCTGCCCGTCTTCTTCTGGCTCCCCTGGCCGAGGGGCAGCTGAGAGAGGGAGCTGCGGAAAGCTGCTGGCGCTGGCCGAGGCAGCCCCATGGCCCTCAGCCACGCAGGCCCCTCCCTGCCTCCTGCCCACCTGGCTCTGAGAGGGTCAAGGCGTTGCAGGAAGGATGGTCCCACCGGGCGAGGCCGAGAGAAGAGCAGGGCGAGTCGCATGAGGTCCATCTCTGGCTTTCCCCTCCAGGGCCTGGCAGAGGTCAGAAAAATAATAAAGTCAAGTGGGGGTCGCAGTCACAAAAGGCAGAAAGAAGACAGACAAGTGGTTACAAGCCCGGGGCCTGAGGCTAGAAAGCCTAGGGTCAGACTTCAGCCTTGCCAAACAACCATCCATGAGTCCCTGGGCGCTCGCTGCTCTGGCCTCAGTCTCCTCGCCTGTAAACTGGGGTTAACTGCAACGTCGCCCACAAGCACTGCGGCAATGACTGAATGAGGTCTCAGATATACCGCGTGCAGCACAGCGCTGGCCCAGGACGCAGCCGACAGACATAAACTATTCTCAAGCCGCGATCTACAAGATAGGTCACTAAACTCAGAGCGGAGTTTGAGTCCTGGCCAGAGCTGTGTGACTGGGCCCACTGCTCGATCTCCCTGTGCCTCACTCAAATATGATATGGAAATAAGTATCAAAATGTTCTAAAAACAAACTTACGCTATACTAGTATACACGCTTCTTTTTCAAGGCATTAAATAACAAGACCCCATGGTGTCCAAGCAGTCATGCATGTAAATGACAGCTTCGGGCGGCTGCAGATACTGTCCCCAACTATCCGTTCACACTCGTCCCCACCTGACATCACGACTTAGCTTCGGGCACTGCTAACGCGACTCCGCCAGGGCGAAGCTCCATTTCGCACAGAGAAAAGAAAGGTGTCATTTTCTTCCTCCTCAAGTTCATTAACCTGCCCAGGCTGGTAACCCCTGAATTAGAGGCACGCTGTCGCTGTCCTCCCTCGGGGACCCGCTCCGCCGCCGACGCTCCAGGGACCCCTGTCCACACTGGCCTTCAGAGCCTCGGTTTCCTCGCCAGACGCCCCGGCTCCGACCCGGCGGCGACACTCGCTGCCCTTCTGGCCTGTCCCCGCCTGGGTTCGGGGCTCCCGCGAGGGTCAAACAGGAGCTCACGCCAAGGGTCTGGCCCAGGGAACGTGGTCCCGCCTCGGCCCCCACGCCACCTTCCACGCCTCCCCGCGTCACCCCAAGTGCCCCCGACTCGGACACCAGCCGCGCCGCCCCGCGCCGCGCGCCCCTGCGACCTCGCGCAGGCGCAGTCCGCGTCACGACTTCTCGGCGCGCGTGGTTTCAGGTTACCCGCGGCCGCGAGGAGAGGCGGGCGTTCGGCTGGCGGCTAGCCCGGCCTATCGGAGCGGCCTGTCCTCCGCGCTCGATTGGCCCGGTCTGGACGGGCGGAGGGCCGGCGCGGGCTCCGGGCGCTCCCGGCATCCCTCGGGCGGCGGTGGCGGCGGCGGCGAGGCGAGGCGAGGCGAGGCGGCGAGGCGGCGGAGGACGGTGTGCGGCGGGACCGGAGGAGGGTGGAGGTGTGAGGGCGCCGAGGGACCTGAGGGGGAGCCGGGCCGGTGGGGCCGCCGCCGCCGCCATGCAGGAAATCATCGCCAGCGTGGACCACATCAAGTTCGACTTGGAGATCGCGGTGGAGCAGCAGCTCGGGGCGCAGCCGCTGCCCTTCCCCGGCATGGACAGTGAGCGCGGGCCCGGGGCCGGCGGGCGAGGGGCGCGACCGACTCGGACCCGGGAGCCTCCCTCGGTCCCAGGACTCTCTCCTCCGGGCTCTGGGACGCCCTACCCCTGGGATCGGGACCTCCTTCCCTTCGGTCCCAGGACCCCGTCCTCCGGGACGCCCTCCCCCTGGAGTGGGGACTTCCTCCCCTTCGGTCCCGGGCATCCTTTCCCCCCGATTCTGGGATCCCCTTCTTCCTGCACTCGGACTCCGGAGCCCCCTTTCCTCGGATCACCGAGCCTCTGGGCTCTTGTAAGGCAGTCTTCGGGACGGCAGGACCCTGTCCGCCTGTTCAGAGTTCTTGAATGAAGGCGCGTATCCCGGATTGGCACTTACTCTCCCCTCCCCCCAGCTACAGGAAAGTACTGAGAGAGCCCCCTTGCGCACCTCCAGCCCCCCGCTTTGAGCGCCCTCTTCTTGTTTTCATCCAGACTGGGTTGGAGGAGTCGTGCTGAGGGAAGGACCGCCTGTCCCTCTCTGCCAGAGACCCATGATTAGGCTCTCAGGCTCCGTTCCCCTCCTAGGACTCCCGCGCCTGGGAGCCTATCCCCCACTCTTCCTCTGGACCCCAACTCTGGGTCATTCCTGACACCTAGGCAGTTTCCTGAGCGCTACCTTCTCCGCCCACCCCCAATTTAGGTGGGATGTCTAGGACTTGAAAAGAAAACAGCAGTTTTCTTATCTTCTCTCCTTTCTGGACACAGTTGACATCTGATGCTGTAACATTAAAGCTCGGAGGGCTCTTAGAGGTCACTGAGTTCAATCCACAGATGGGGCAACTGAGGCCTGGGTGGGGGAAGGGACTGGCAGGAAACCACTGAGTGCGTGGCCAGCCAAGTGAGCTCTCAGTGTTCTTGACCGGTTCTGTTTGCAGCTCCCTGTGCTGTCTGTCTTCCCATAGCTGCCAGAGGACTTTGGCCCGTGTTCAACCACCTGTCCCTGGTCTGGTACAGCCTCCCTGCAGCCTCATTCCTCTCAAGTGGCCACTCTTGTCATGCACACATGACCTCTGAGTTGTCCCACTTGTGCTGACACTTCTGTGCGAGATATTGCTTATACCTAAGAGACTTACCCTCAGACAACCTGATTTTATACATGCACGAGCACCATCTCCACTGTGCTTGTCTTATAAGCAACTGCTCAAATTCAGATACACACTTATTTATCTACCTTGATGCATGTGATCACTGTGTTTGTATGCATACATCCGCTCTGGCACACATGGCCTTTTCCTGTGTTGATGGCACTAGCTTGAGACCATGGAAGGTCCGTGCAGGGACCTGCTCTTTCCCTCCCGCCCTACTTCAGCCTGGGACCACAGATAACTTGAGTCTGTGAGGGCAGGTGCAGTGGTGAGGCACCCACATACCTGTCCTTAGGGAGGGTCAAGGACAGCCTAGCCAGGGGGTGGCCCTAGCTTCCAGCCTCAGACTTGGTAGGCGCCCTCAGCACTCACTGCCTGCTGGAGATTGGGTTCAGTTTGTTAAAGCCCAGGGAGGCCACAGCCCCCCCTCCCTTGTCCCTGCACTTCAGTCCCCTCTTGGTTTAGGGAAGATGTGTCAGTTCTGCCCTGAAGGTGTGCTCTTCTGTCCTGTCCACTTGAGACCCAGTCACCAGGACTGGACTTCTGGCTTTGAGGAATGAAGCAACCTTAATGTCTGAAAAGAATGAAGGCCCAGAAATACTCTTAAAGGATACAGTTTTCAGTGTGAGTCTTTTCAGACTTTTTGAAATGCAAATGAATGACACCATGATGACTCCCAGTTCTGCAACCTTAAGTCTGTCAGCAAAACCTGCCTGCTTCCGAGGAGCCAAGGGATCTCTTGCAAGTTAGCAAGTAGAGGCACGTAAGTGGCCTTCGGAGATGCTGTCAGTTGGTTTTCAGCAATTCTAAAATGCCTGCTGATAGAGAAAACTGTTTTGTTTTATTTTTTTAAAGATTGGCGCCTGAGGTAACAACTGTTACCAATCTTTTTTTTTTTTTTTTACTGCTTTTTCTCCCCAAACCCCCCCAGTATGTAGTTGTATATTTTAGTTGTGGGTCCTTGTAGTTGTAGCATGTGGGATGCCACCTCACCACGGCCTGATGAGCGATGCCACGTCCGTGCCCAGGATGCGAACCAACGACACCCAGGCCACCAAAGTGGAGCACACGAACTTAACCACTTGGCCACGGGGCCAGCCCCCAAGAAAACTGTTTTTAAAGCCACGAACAATTTATTCTCTAGCCGTGGTGGGTGAATTTCTGGTGTCATTGGAACAGCTTGCCCCTGGAGCCCACTGACTTCCACCACACTCACTTTTTATTCTCCTGTCCCCGTCACCTGAACCAGCTGCATCTGTGGAAGTGAAAGACTGTGCTCCTGTCATAGTTGTGTGTTGGTGGTGTGTGTTAAGAGTAGTCCTGCTTCTGCATCTTCAATTATGCTTTTCCCTCCAGAATAGCGTCCACCTCTTCTCTGGAGCCTGTCCCTACTCAGAGTCCCCATTTGCTTATTTGTGCTTCCTGCCTCACATTAAAGTGCCTTAAATTAGCCCTCTGGAAGGTCCGAGCTGGGGGTAATTAATTTCTGTGATGTTGCGCTCCATCCTTCCTTCTCCCACCCACTTGTAGCTCTCTGAAAGCATCTTACTAATAGGAGGTTCTTAGAAAGCGCTGAGTAAGGACCAGTCTTCAACGTATATGTCTCATTTTGAGGGAATGTCTGAAATAAGCAGCTGTTTCCCTGCTTGGTCGGGCTTTGCATCCTTTTGCCAGTCTGTTTCCTGTATCCTGAACCCTCCGTGGGTTAAAGGCCAGAAGGCTTCCCTCCCCGTCTTTGATGTCACCAGGAGCAGTCGCACTTTGCTTTCTTTGATGCCTCTCCTTTTCTCTCCTTTCTCCAGAGTCGGGGGCTGCTGTCTGCGAGTTCTTTTTGAAAGCTGCCTGTGGCAAAGGTAAGAGACCCCTGGCTCCCTCACATTCCTCCTGCGGTGTCTCCCACCACCTTGTCCCCTAGCAGACTTGTAGGCTATCAGGCTTGCATTGCTTTCTGTCCTAGATGACGCTGTGGTTTGGACAGGCTAGGAACACGTCGGGGTGGTCTGCCCAAAACCTAAAACACAGGACTGAACCCGGCTCTGAGTCTGCCTTCTCACCTCACTTTCCTAGTGGCCACGAGTTGACCTGTGAGATGGACAGAGGCCCCTAGCACCGAGGTGTTCAGGAACTTTCTCAAGGTCACAGAGTTAGTGAGTGGCTGAGGCCTTTCTGATTCTACAGGCTTCACAGGCTCACTGTCCTCTGTGGCCTTGCACCAGAAAAACCTACAGTGGTCTGTCTCGTGGAGTCTTGTTCACACTAACCAGCCCCAGCAGAAGCTGCACTGTCCACTAATGAGGGGACCATCCACTAATTTATAAGGATAAGAGTCGCTGGGCAAGACCTTACCTGTATAGGTCCGGGCGTTTTTCTCCCTGTAGGCAAATTTACCTGGAAACTAAATTATAATCAGAAGCTTAAATAAGGAGCACAGAGTTAGAGCAAGGGGGATGGGTTTAATGGATGATTTTTCAAGTTTGGGTTCTCTGACTCAGTCATCTACCATGGAAGCGACAGACCTGCCAGGCACATCATCCAGCTTGACCTCAGGCCATCTGGTCGGGCCGTTTCCCCTGCTGGGCTCCTGGTCTCATTGCCATGTCTTCGCTCGGTCATTCTGCCCTTCTGCCCAGCCACCTCTGTCAGCACAGCTGCCCTCAACATGGGGCACTACGACTGTGTCTTTGTTAACTAATGTAATAGCCACTAGCCACATGTGGCTGTTTCAACTTAAATTGATTAAAATAAAATAAAAAACACAGTTCCTCAATAACGCTACCCATATTTCAAGTGCTTAATAGCCACAGCATAGATAGAGAATGTTCCCATCGCTGCAGAAAGTTCTGGTGGCCGGGGCTGGTCTAGATCTGCCGTCATAGCCTCGTGCTGGTCGGGCCTTCCCAGTAGTCCTGCCAGGCCTCTAGTTAGAAGTCCTTTCCTAGGGTGCGGCTCTGGCCCATCTGGGGGATGATCACTTGGGTCCTGCTGCAGAGGGCAGACCTCTCCAGTCTGTGTACACTGCATTGCTTCAGTTCTGAAGTTGATCTGTCTTACTTCTTGGAGGCTAAGTGGGCACTTTTAACTAGAGATGGACCCTGCCTTGAGTCCAGGCTTCTGCTGGTGGCCGTCTTTACCGTCTGTACTTTAGGGCTGTGTGTCCCACACCCCAGGCTTTCTTTTACCACCCCTACAAGTTCCATGTACCACTGGAACTATTCTTTAAGCAAATTAAGAAATAAAGTCACTCCCCTCCTCAGGCTTGTCAAGCCTCCATTTTACAGTAATATCTGTGAAATCCGTGAAATGATTTGGTATTTTAGATTCTTACCCAAACAAAATAAAATACATAGCTATTAAAACTTAAAATATGTGCCCATGTACAGAACTGTCTAAAATCAAGTTGCCTTCTGCCAGGGGCACCTACACCACCTTCCAGGACATGCTACTTCCAGGTGCCTCAGGGAGGTGTGGGGGGTGAGCACCTCTGCTCCCGTGGCCCAGTGCGCCGGGCCGAGGGCTGCCTCTCTCCTCACACCGCCCTGTCTTCCTTGGCAGGGGGCATGTGCCCATTCCGCCACATCAGCGGCGAGAAGACAGTTGTGTGCAAACACTGGCTGCGGGGGCTATGCAAGAAGGGGGACCAGTGCGAGTTCCTGCACGAGTACGACATGACCAAGATGCCCGAGTGCTACTTTTATTCGAAGTTTGGTAAGGAGGATGTCCAGGCCTCCCCTCCATCCCGACCCCCAGCCTCAGGTGCCCTGGGGAGGGTCCCCCAAGAACCACGGCCCAGAGGGGTTCAGCAGCTGCTCAGGTGCCTGTGGTGTCTGCTGTCTCCTGTCTTTCCAGCTTCCCATGAGAACCTTGGGCAGTGCCTTCCAGCCTCAGCTGGCCTTTAGTTACAGGAAGTTATAGTTATTCTCTCATAATCCCCATGGCTCTGTACTGCTTCTGTTTTTGAGCATTTTCAGGTACTTTGGGAAGTTGAGACTAATTCACGGTGGGTGAGTGAGCAGTGCAGCTGGCTGGAGGCCTTGTTTCTGCTCAGGTCGGCCTTCTCCCTGAAATCAGCCTTTGCTTCTGGCGTGGGACTGATTGTCCCTGGACCTGAATTAGGTGCTTCTCTCTGGGAGTGTGATCCAGGGTAGTAGCCTGTCTGTCCTGGACACCCCTTAAGAATAGCAGGTCTGGGGAAGCCCTCCTCCTCACCTTGAAACTGAGATTGCCTCGATCCCTGCTTAGAGGACATGTCGCCTCAGGTGTCCTCAGTGGACTGCATGGAGAAGCAGGGGTGGGCTGGGGGTGGTGGGGCTGGATGGTTCTGATGGAATCCCCTAGCTCTCTGCTCTGGGCGAGGTTGCCCAGGAAGAAGCCATGTTGGTCAGGATGAGAGTGGGCTCTGGCCCCAGGACTGCCAGGCCCGGGCCTGTGCAGGGCCCAGCGGGAGGCTGGAAGCTTGCTGTACTCTCTGGGGGCGCTGAGGAGTGCTGGGCCTGCTGCACGCTTTCAGAGCACTGTTGCCGGAGGAGACGTTAATTATTTCAGCAGCCCAACAGCCTTGGCTTGCTGGCTTGTTAGTGGTAATGTGGCTTTTTAAAAAAGTTGAGGTCATAAGAGTTTATAACGTTGTGAAATTTCATTTGTACGTTATTTGTCAGTCACCACATAAATGTGCCCCTTCACCCCTTATGCCCACCCCCCAATCCCTTTCCCCTCTGGTAACCACTAAACTGTCTCTTTGTCCATGTGTTACTTTATCTTCCACATATGAGTGAAATCATATGGTGTTTGTCTTTCTCTGTCTGGCTTATTTCACTTAACATAATACCCTCTGGTCCATCCATGTTGTTGCAAATGGGACAATTTTGTCCTTTTTATGGCTAAATAGTACTCCATTGTATACATATACATCTTCTTTATCCAATATCAGTGGGTGGGCGCTTGGGCTGCTTCCACGTCTTGGCCTTTGTGAATAATGCTGCAGTGAACATAGGGGTGCATAAGTCTCTTTGAATTGTTGATTTCAAGTTCTTTGTGTAAATACCCAGTAGTGGGATAGCTGGGTCATATGGTATTTCTATTTTAAATTTTTTGGGAAATCTCCATACTGTTTTCCCATAGTGGCTGCACCAGTTTGCATTCCCACCGTGTGTATGAGGGTTCCCTTTTCTCCATATCCTCTCCAACATTTGTTATTTCTTTCTAATTATAACCATTCTGACTGGTGTGAGGTGATATCTTACTGTAGTTTTGATTTGCATTGCCCTAATAATTAGTGATGTTGAACATCTTTTCATGTGCCTCTTGGCCATCTGTATATCTTCTTTGGAAAAATGTCTGTTCATATCCTCTGCCCATTTTTTGATCGGGTTGTTTGTTTTTTTGTTGTTCAGTTGTGTGAGTTCTTTATATATTTTGGAGATTAACCCTTTGTCTGATATATGATTTGTAAATATTTTCTCCCAGTTGGAGGGTTGTCTTTTTGTTTTGTTCCAGGTTTCCTTTGCCTTGCAAAAGCTTTTTAATCTGATGAAGGCCCACTTGTTTATTTTTTCTTTTGTTTCCCTCATCTAAGTAGACATGGTATTTGAAAAGATCCTTCTAAGACCGATGTCAAAGAGTGTACTGCCTATATTTTCTTCTAGGAGTTTTATGGTTTCAGGTCTTCCCTTCAAGTCTATGATCCATTTTGAGTTAATTTTTGTGTATGGTGAAAGATAACAGTCTACCTTCATTCTTTTGTGTGTGGCTGTCCAGTTTTCCCAATACCATTTACTGAAGAGACTTTCCTTTTTCCATTGTATGTTCTTAGCTCTTCTGTTGAAGATTAGCTGTCCATAGATGTGTGGTTTTATTTCTGGGTTCTCGATTCTGTTCCATTGATCTGTGTGTCAGTTTTTCTGCCAGTACCATGCTGTTTTGATTACTATAGATTTGCAGTATATTTTGAAGTCAGGGATTGTGTTGCCTCCGGCTTTGTTCCTGTTTTTCAGTCTTGCTTTAGCTGCCTGGGGTCTTTTGTTGCCCCATATGAATTTTAGGATTCTTTGTTCTATTTCGGTGAAGGGTGTCATTGGGATTCTGACTGGGATTGCATTGAATCTGCAGATTGCCTTAGGTAGTATGGACATTTTAACTATGTTTGTTGTTCCAATCCATGTGCATGGAATATCTTTCCATTTCTTTATGTCCTCATCGATTTCTTTCAATGATATCTTATAGTTTTCATTGTATAGGTCTTTCACCTCCTTGGTTAAATTTATTCCTAGATTTTTTGTTGTGATTGTAAATGGGATTGTATTCTTGGCTTCTCTTTCTGTTAATTCATTATTAGAGTATAGAAATGCAACTGACTTTTGTAAGTTGATTTTGTACGCTGCAACTTTGCTGTAGTTGTTGATTATTTCTAATAGTTTTCTGATGGATTCTTTAGGGTTTTCTATATATAAAATCATGTCATCTGCACACAGCAAGAGTTTCACTTCTTCAATGCCTATTTGAACTCCTTTTATTTTTTTTTCTTGCCTAATTGCTCTGGCCCAAACCTCTGGTACTCTGTTGAACAGGAGTGGCAAGAGTGGGCACCCTTGTCTTATTCCTGGATGATTGTGGCTTTTTTGTAGAGGCAGCATAAGCTGAGAAGGCGAAGTGCAGACAGACAGAAGTAGGGTCTAGGCTTCCCAGCTCCCCCGATCTCCCTGCCCTTAACAGCACTGTAAGGGGGCGTTGGCTTCTCCAGGGGTGCTGTCTCCTATCTGGCCTCAGAGGATGGAGCCAGCCTTCCTGGGCAGACTTTCAAGGGTGCCTCTGCAGGCTGGCCTGGGTTCCCTCCTTGCCTGCTGATGGTCCCAACCTGGAGCCCCCGAGGCCTCTATGACGCTCCCTGCCTGCCCTTCCCCTGCAGAGCCTGCCCTGGTGCAGATGCACTGTCTGCAGCTCCTGTCACCTGTGGCACAGGTGAGTGTCCCCCTTCTAAGCACTGGAGGGACAGTAGTGAAGAGGATAGACCCAGTCCCTGCCCCGTGGAGCTGTTGCTCTGGTGGCCAGGGAAAGAGGCAGCAGATACACTAGTGAGACAGATAAAAGAAGAGAATTATTCTCGATAATGCTCTGAAGCTGGGACCACAGGAGGAAATCTGCTTTAGGCAGCATGGTCAGGGAAGGCCTCTCTGTGGAGGTGAGACCTGAGCTGGGATCTGAAGGCCAAGAAGGGGCCAGCCCTGGCAGAGGCCTGGTCTTGGAACATCTCAGGGCCACTGTGGCTAGCAGGAGGAAGAGACTGGGGAGGCGTGGGACCTGTGGCGCTGGGAAGGAGTTTGCATTTTCTCTGCACAGCAGTGATGAGGTTGGCCTCTCTGGAGAGGACAAGCATGGAGGTGGCCTGGCCAGCCAGGTGGGCAGTTCGTGGAGTTAGGTGAAAGGTGCTGGGGGCCAGCTGGATAGATTGCTTCTGAGAGGGGCTGTCATAGAGGCTTGATCACGTCCTTCCATGGAGACCCAGCCTTGAGTTCCAAATCTTGCCCGCTTTTGTCCTAAAAGGTAGAATTTGCAGACCTTTCCCTTGTCCCAGCTGGTTTGTGTGGAGAACTGATCAGAGTGGAACAGTCATTTCCTGGTCTCAACTGGTACATTTGCATATCTGGGCCCCCATGGTGCCCGGGACGCCCCCTCTGACTGGGTAAAGGCGGAGCAATGAGTTATTTGATGAGTGTGTACCCCGTGCCTGGCCCTGTCAGTGTCATTGACCCTCGCAGCAGCACAGACACATGTGAGAGGACCCTCACAGCCCGCGTGCAGGTCAGGAACCAGGCTCTGAGACACTCTGCCCTGGGTCTCAGGGCTCGCCGGGCCAGGACCGGACGCCAGAACCACCTGGTCCTCCTTGCCGCACGGCAGGCCCCGGCCTCGGGAGAAGCTGAGGTGGGTCTGGGTCTGGCTCTCCCAGAGCTGTCCCAGGTGGACGCATGTCTGGGTTTCCCTGCAGGGGAATGTAGCAACAAGGAGTGTCCCTTCCTGCACATCGACCCCGAGTCCAAGATCAAGGACTGCCCTTGGTACGACCGAGGCTTCTGCAAGCATGGTAGGTGTCGGGGTGCCTGGGCCCCCCGCGAGAGGCCGGTCTTCCCTTCCTCTGCCCACGACTCTGCCTGTCCCGCCTGTTCAGCAAAACCTGGTGTTAGGCATTTGGGGGCTGGTGAGGCTTTTTCACACCCTCAGCTCACTGGAGCCTCCCGAGGCTCCCGTGTGGGCTCGTTCACACTTGTATTTTTAATAAGGAAACTAACGTTGGAGAGGTTGTGTGCCCTGCCCACTGTCCCCTATGAATAAGAGGCAGAGCCAGCATTTGAAGGCCTGCTCCTGCTCTCTGTACCCCAGGCAGTGTTGTGGGCAGGGCTCTGACTGACATCCCCTGAAGAGGGGACTGGCTGCGTGACCTGGATGCTTGGCTCCACAGGTCCCCTTTGCAGGCACCGGCACACGCGGAGAGTCATCTGCGTGAATTACCTTGTGGGATTCTGCCCCGAGGGGCCCTCGTGTAAATTCATGCAGTGAGTAGCCACCCCTGTCCCCCTCCCCTGCTCCTGCCCCTGCCCCTGCTCCTCCTCCATGTCTCTTGCTGGGTGGTGTCAGCACAGGGCCGGGGAGAGGGGTCGGGGGAAGGGAGGACCACTGCTGCTTCCTGAGCCCAGAGGAGGCTCTGCCTAGACCAGCACTTAACCTTTATTGGGTCACAGGCCATCTGGGCATCTGATGAAAGCTATGGGCCCTGTGCTTCAGAGAAACTCATGCCGACATAGTCTTGCATATCATTAGGGACCTCAGGCTAAGAACCTGTGCCCTAAAGGAAGGGAACTGCACTTTCAGGGCCTCCTATATGGGGCCCTGCACTTGGGCTTCCATGTACACTAGTTCGTGTAACTCTCACGAGTGTGAAAGAGAGAATGTGCCCATTCCACATGTGCGAACGCTGAGGCTCAGAGCTCGGCCACTGGCCGGGGTCACGTGGTGGCACCTGGTCAAAGGCAGGTCTGTGGGCCTCTGAAGCCAGGTTGTCCTTGCCCAGCAGGGCTCAGCGCTCCTCTCCCGGGCCTCAGCGTACATGTGTCAGTTTGGGTGGTTGTAGGGCTGGGCTTCTCCTGGGGTGGTGCCGGGACCATGGAGTAGCATCCCTCCACCCCACCCCTACCTCTGTGCTGTCTCTGTCCACACCATTGACACCCACCCAGAAGCACAGTGCCCTGCTTCCTGGATGACAGCCCAAGAGCCTGCAGGTGGCACAGGGATTCCTGCTGGCAGGGTGGGCAGGCGTGCCCTCCAGGGATCTGTGTCAAGGTCTGACACTTGAGTCAGAGCCCCCAGGGAAGAGTGTGTGGTTGGAGGGGCTTGTGTCTAAAGCTCCTCGTGGAGCAGGCTCATGCCTTCTGACAGTACAACTGCTGTTCCCTTCATTTCTCTGAGCAGCCCTTGCCCCGGGTCTCACAGCCAGGTGCAGGCAGAGCTGGGCCTGAGCCCAGGCACATCTGATTGGTTCTCCCCGCCGTCCCGTGGCCTCGGGTAGAACTGAGAGCCAGCACCCACCCCACATCTGGGCGGTTCATGTTGCTCTGTACTTGGGCAGGGGCTGGCTGTGATTTTCTGGGGCCAAAGTTTGAGAACACCGCCTGGCCTGCTTCCTCTCTCATCCCCTCTTCTCCTTCTCCTGTTCTTCTCCTCTCTGGCTGCTGGGTGACCAGCCCTCGATTTGAACTGCCCATGGGAACCACCGAGCAGCCCCCACTGCCGCAGCAGACGCAGCCTCCAACAAAGGTACCGTGCCCCGGCCCTTCCTTGGCCTGTGGTGCTGCCGGCCCTGGCAGTGTCCTTGCAGCAGAGAACTCGGTGCCTGCCCTGGTGCATGAGCTGCTGGAGACCTAGCTGGAGCCCTTGTGAGGGGAGAGAAGGGGAGTCACCCTGTGTTCCAGCAGAAAATTTAGGGAGCAAAGCAGTTTGCATCTCTCTGTAGAGATGGGGGGCTGTCTGTTAGAGCTGACTGCCCACTTGGCTTCTCTTCCCTCCTCGCCTGGTGAGTGCGGTGGCAGCTCAACAGTGCCTGCCGTGGGAGCCAGAGCAGAGGGCAGTGTGGGCCCCATGTGTCTGCTGCTCTTGCTTCCGGTTCAGACGCTTCCCTTTACAAACGGGGAAACTGAGACTCCTAGAGGGAGGGCCTTGCCTGAGGTGCCACAGCTGGCCAGGAGCAGACCCGGGGTGCTCTGGCCAGTGCCGTTATTGCACTGTGTGAAGGTTCCCAACTGCACAGAACAGAGGGCCGAAGGACCAGCTGGCCCATTTTCTAGACACGGGGGTCCCACAGCCCAGCAGTGGGCGCACCCCCTCAGGTATGAGAAAAGAGGGAAATGCTATAGACAAATGGGAATCTGCAGCAGCCCTCCCCAAACCAAGGGCACCCTGGGTTTGGTGATGGGAGTGGGGCGCAGAAGGGCTGGCCAAGTGCGCCAGGCAAGGTCTCAGGCTGAGTAAACCTGCCCGCCGATCCTGCCTCCTTACGTCTTACCTGGTTGGATTCTGAGCCCGTTGCCAAAGTCCCGCCAGGCCCTCCTCAGTGCTAGACGCTGAGCAGCCAGCAGGGGGCGTGGCCGTACCTACTCCATTGCCCCCACCCGCAGGAGGTTGGGCAAATCAGACTGAACTCCTCACCAGCAAAGCTGGGAATTCCTGGGTGTGGCTACAGCCAGGACAACTAGGGCTTTCTAGCTCGGGGTGCCTGCATTTATGGGGGCCAGAGCCAGGAACCCACTTGGTTGGGTTTTGGCCTCGCTGTCCCGTCCTCACACCAGGAGCCCCCGTCCCCCTTGCTCTCATGACTCCCTAGTGGAGGGCCCTCTCAGCCCCTAGACCGCAGGTCAGCGTGTCAGCCTCCAACTGTTTTTCTGTGACTGTTGCTCGCCGTGTAGGCTGCTAAACATCTGGCTGAACCAAGCGTTCATCCTGACCTGAAGCTAGAACCTCAGAAACAAAAGTAAGGCCTGCTCATGCCCTTGCCCCGCTGCCCCAGAGACCTCCTTGTCTCTTTGATGTTTTGTTTTCTACTTTTATTTTTCGTTTTTGTGTGTCTGCATGGTGTTTTTCGGGCAGCAGCTCCTGCCATCATCACCAGATGTTTCTTTTCCGCCTGCTCTCCTGAGTGGGGCCACCGTGGAAGCCCTTCTTCCTGCTGGTCATGCGGGAGAAGTCCCGCCCTCTTTTTTCCTGTCCCCATTGGTAGTCTGCGTGCACGTGTTTTCCGCAGTAAAACCGTGTTGTGTAACTCTTTCCAGCAAAGTAACAATCCGCCATTACAAAGGTCGTCCTCCTTGATCCAGTTAACGAGTCAGAACTCTTCTCCCAATCAGCAGAGAGCCCCACAGGTCATCGGGGTCATGCAGAGTCAAAACAGCAGCGCAGGCAACCGGGGACCCCGGCCGCTGGAGCAGGTCACCTGTTACAAGGTGAGTCCTGGGGCTGGGGGCGGGCTGGGGTCTTCAGTCAGTGGCCAGTTCCATTCCCCAGATAGTTAATTTTGAAAAATGAAAACGCCTTTGTTTTTGCTCATTGTAAAAGTGGGCCACTCTGCTGGGCTAGAGACCATCCTACTTCCTTCCACGACACACCAAGGCCAGGGGAATGATTAAACACGCTGCTGAATGAATGAAGCGCGCTTGCAAGAAAGGGAAGGAAATCTTCCAGAGGCTAGGAATAAAATGGAAACACAAATTGAGGGATGGCAGTGAGCTCTGGAGCCTGTGTTGTCCTCAGAAGCCACGTGGGCACACCCAAGGGAAAGGGACGAAGCTTAAGGCCCACACAGGGAGGAATCAGATTAGAACAGGCTTCTCCCCTACGCACACATACGTAACATAGGACACGTTTCAACTTTTACAGGGTAAACTTGAAAAACCTACTAGAAAACTTGTCTGTCTCATTCTTGGCTCTGCATGGAAAGGGGAGATAAGAGTCCCTTGAGAGTTTGTAGCCTCTGGCGGGCCCTTCCATGACTTCAGGCCTGTATTCATGCCCTTGGTGAGGGCTGAAAAGCTGCAGAGTTTTCTAACCTAAAACAGCCCTGGATGAGTGCCTGGCTCTTTGAGGAATTTATTCCCAGCCCAGACCACACAGAATTCCCACAGCGGGGTTCTGAAGATGAGTTCATAATTAAAAATCACAAAATGTAGGAGGAAACGAGCACCACCGAGTCAGTCAGTGGAAACAACTGACAACAGAACTGGACTCACAGAAACTTCAAATTTGGGAATTAGGAGACAAAATACAAAGTTAGTACATACTTTTTGTAAAAACTTTTAGATGATGTAGAAGTGTTGAGGATACAAAGTGAGTGTTGTCCCTATGCCTGCCTTTCCTACAACAGCCGCTTTATTCAGTGTGTCCTCACCCTTTTTGGTTTCAGTACTCCTTTACACCCCAAACTCCTAGCGAGGACCCCGCCAGGGCCCCTGGACCCTACTTGGAGAGCTGCTCTGCTCAACTTCCATTCACACAAGCACAGGATGGTATATATTTTTAACATCTATAGGGCCCTAGTATGTATACCATTCCTATAATTTTTTGTTTACAATATATTGTGGCTCTCTCTACGTCAGTATATCTAAGTCTAATCTTTTTCAGTGGCTGCATAATACAACCACAGTTTATTTTCCCAGTTCTCTGTTGGTAGACAATTAAGTTATTTATAGCTTTTGCTGCTAAAAGCAGTGCTGAATCTGACACTTAGACATTTGTGAGCTCTTGTCTGATGATGTTGACTCCAAGTAGAAGGTCATCCGTGACTCCAAGTGGAAGGTCCAAGTCAAAAGGCGTACACTTAAAATGTTCATAGACATTTTAAAGAAAGGCCGAGCCACTGGGCACTTCCCATGGCCGTCAGACACTCACTGAGCACCTGCTCTGTGCCGGCTCTGCTGAGGAAACAAAGACTGGTGCTGCTTCCCTGGAGGGATCTGTGTTCCGGGGTTGCGGAGGCAAGTGCCCAAAGACACCAAAGCTAAAAGTGCACGTGGATTCAGGGAAGACCTCAGAGATGTCTGAGCCTGAGCCCTGAGTGAGGAGAGTACAGAAAGTAGGTGTGGAGAAGTGAGGTGAATGGGGAGCCTGCCCCACACAGAGCAGACCGCTTCCAAACGGTCAGTTCTCGAGGACAGTGAGGAAACTTAGGTGTCCTGAGGCAGCCCAGCTGACATCTTGCCCTGGCCGGGACTCTTCAGTAGTGCTCCCTCTGTGAAGTCCTGAACTCAGAGAGGCGCTGGGGGGACCTGACACCTCTTCTTACCAAGGGCGCTTCACAGTTACTATCAAAGATGCCTCCTGGGGAATCCTGGATTCCCCAGGATTAGCCATGGAGGCCGATGGACATGACAAGTGCTGTGAAGGGGCCTGCATGGCCCCTCCCTCTGGTCCTCACATCAGCTGAAGGGCTGACTGGCAGCTGCACAGGCCACCCGTCCACACGAAGGTCACACCTACAGACCAGACAGACTTGAGAACATGGGGACTGTAGGGTCACAGGAGTACAGTAGGCAAGAGTGCTGGGCAGTGACCAGGCAGAGCGTGGATTCCAGGCCGAGGAAGCAGGGACTGGGAGGGCAGTGGGTGGGGAAGTGCAGAGTGGTGCCCTTGCCCATCTCCCAGCCCCTTGTTCAGTGCCTGAGGCTGCTGTTCACTCCCTTTCTTACAGTTCCCTCCTGCTTTCTGAGGAGTAACGGGAACGAAGGAAGAGAAGCTAAGGAAGGGCCAGGATAATCAGAGCCAAGACAAGTCAGGGTTGGTGCTAGGTTTTTGAGAGGTGATTCTACAGGTCTGTTCACCCAAGTCTAACCGACGCCCCGTCTCTCTGATCCTGTGACCAAAACCTGTCCCCAGGGGTAGCTTAGGCAGGTGTGCAAGAGCCAGGAGGGAAAGCTCTGGGTGCAGCCCACCCTCAGTGTCCACAGCAATGAATCCCTGAGTTGGGGTAGGAGCCAGGTGGCTTCTCTTGTGTTGTTCCATCCCCCGTCTCCAGGGAGTCCCAGAACGGTGCCTCAGAGGTGAGTGACTGGCCAGCTGTGCAGAAGGGTTGGTCTCTGGACAGGCGGGGCAGTCCGATGCCATGGGCTCCTCTTCACCCTGTCACCCACGGTGAGAGCCCTTCCGTGGGCAGGCCTCGTGTTGGACATGGGCCCACTCGAAGCAGCTCCTGCTGTGCGCTCTCAGATCCTCCTCTCGCCCCGGCAGTCTCTCTTCCATCTGCTGAGTTGCTGGCTGCAGTTTCTGCACCACTGTACCTTCCGGAGCTCCCCTCCCCTCGGGTGTGAGACAACATCTGTCCCAGTGAGAATGTCAGAGTCCCCGTCCCCAACCTGGTATTTGGTGGGTGCTGCCTTAGTTGAAAATTGCATTTGAAAACGGTGTTTTTGTCTCCTCCTTCCCTTCTGCTGTTCCCAGTGTGGTGAAAAAGGACACTACGCCAACAGATGCACCAAAGGGCACTTGGCCTTTCTCAGTGGACAGTGACAGCAGCTGGAGGCAGCTCAGAGCAGCCCGAGGGGCCCTGTTGTTGGAGACAACTCTGGGTCATCCTTGGGAGCGTGCATTTAACTGTTTAATGCCAGCGTTGGTGCAACTCTGGCTAGAGCTGGCAGGCAGGCATGCTGGGTTCATCCTTCTGAGGGGCCACGTCTGTCAGTTTCCCTATCATTTTGCTGTAATCTTTTTTTAAAACGGGGACGTGTGTTCCAGTTTGGTCCCTCAGGTCAGCATCATGTTTGTCTAGGCATCAAGGCCTCCTGGCTGGGACTCCTTGCACACTGCCCTCTGAGGAGGGGAGGAGGCAGGGGCAGGGCTTGTGCTAAGCAGTTCTGTGTAGGAGACGGTCCTTCCCCTCAGGGTCTCATTAAACACCCGTTCTTGGTGACCCCAGGGGCTGGTGGGTCATTTAAAGCTGCCGCCAGGTCAGGCCTGCTTCCTCCATATCCTGCTGGATTCCGGAGCTGTGCCTATCAATGTGATTTGAAGGAGGCAGCCCTTCAGGGCAAACTCAAGGGCGCTTGTTGCCTTGGCCTGGTCCTGCTCCTGCTCCAAGGTGGCAGTGGCTGAGAGGCGTGCAGGCCTCTCAAGGTGAGGCTCTTTTTCCTCTGGGCTTATTTTCTTGGGGCACCTGCTTAACAGTGTTTAAGGTATACCTTAAGCTGGAGCTGCAGACCACCCTTTGAATAGATGACCCAGTCCATCTGTGCACCTACCTCCTGCCCCATCAAGCGTCTGTGCTGTCATTCAGACACCTCTGGCCTTTGGAGGAGACCACCCTGCTCCTGAGCCTGGAAATGTGAAACTGTCACCTGCAACCTGCTGGGCAAGTGGGCCTATCCAAGTTCAATTACAAGAACAATTTTTATGAAGTTGATTAAAGCTTGTTTTTTAAGCTGCGTCTCGTTACTTCCGGGACTCTGTGCTGAGGAGAGGACTCTTGCTACTGGCTGCACTAGCCGTCTGGCACGAAGCTCTGCTGGCAGCGCCCACTTGTCCCCTTTCAACAAATGTGAATCTCACAAAGGGAAGCCATGCTGCCAGCGAAAGAGGCCTTTGTACTGGCAGCTGGTAAAGTCTGGAAGCTTGGCCTTTGGAACAGCCACTACCTAGCAGGTCTCTTGATCTTCACCTCAGATGTTGGATATGTGTTTACTCAAATTCGCATCCTCTAGAAGATACTTAGCCACAGCATCCCACCCCCTTATACTCCACGCAGTACATAAGCTCACCACACACCCCTCAACAAGCAACTGGTTGTGGCCTTCATGTCACTCACTTTACTGAGGACCTCCGAGGGTGTAAGGAGGGTGCTGGATACGGGGGCAGCTGCAAGCTCCCATAGGGCTGTCCTTTCCCTCACCCTCTGGGTCATCCACTGAGCCTCCTGCAGGTGAGCCTTCCTTACCTGGAGGGCCCATGTCACCACAGCCTCCCATTCGAGTCCCTGATACCCTGGTAAGGCAGGAAGATGGGCAACACAGGGCTTCTGCTTTATAGTGTGAAAGCCGCAGCTGACAGAAGGCTGAGAGTGCTTACGACGCCCAAGGCAAAGAGCAGGGGAACAGCTCTGGGCATTGCTGACAGGGAGCTCTAGATGATACCCACCCCCCTACTGAGCTGGGACAAGATCCCAAAACGGTGGTGTGGGGAGCCCACCAAGGCATCGGAGTTCACAGCCCTGGGCTGTCTGGACAGCCCCCCTTTGGGAACTGTACTCATGCCGCCATGGGCAGCAGGTGCTCCTAGAGCCCTGAAGTGGCTCCACCAGTGAAGCAGTCTGTGTACCAGTCATCTTTTATTGGGTTCTCAGGATATGAAAGGGCTCGGGGTGCCGGGCAAAGGTCACGGTCAGGAATGCAGAGTGCGCCTCCACACTGGGCCCTCTTCAGTGGTACTTGCGCCGCCGCTCGTGTTCTGAAGTTAGAAAGGCAAAACAGTAAGTTTCTTAAAAGGTATAAAGAAAGCACAAGATGATTGCAAGGGTAGGAGGCCAAAGTCGTGGAGAACCATCCAGAGAACTCCTTTCAGGAGACGACCCAGAACCTGCTGCCAGTGTCTCAGTGGAACTGGCAGATCTGGGGGCAGGGAGGCACCTCGAGCTATCTGCCACCTGGCCAGCCTCTTCCTTCCCAGAAGGAACACCCACTCCGACAGACAGCCCCTAAGAACCCATCCTTCAGAGCCAGCATCCCCTCGGATGCCACAGACTGGCTGGGGGCTGGACGCCGTCAGAAACAGCCCCTGAAACCCAGTCAGCGTCTCCCACCAGACAAGCTCCTCTTAGGTCTCAGAAGCGGGAACAGCTACACTTTTCTAGAACACTGCACAGACACTGGATCATACCACTCAACCCATTTCCCTCATTGTGTTGGCTGCTAGCAAGATGAAGCCAAACTTTCCACCAACCTTTCGCACAGCCTGCAGTATCTTATAGGACGCTTCCTAAGTATTACCTTTACCCCAGTTTCATCTTATTTTTCCTGTCTTTATTTTCTCTTTGCCACAATTTCCTCACTTAAAATAATATCCTATATACTATATTCTGATAAGTCCCTCCAATTCTTCAGCTGTCAGTAGAATGGTGGACTTCTGAATCTGACCGTGAACCAATACCACCCTCTCATGGGAAGCCCCACTCCAGACAAGGCAATCCAAGAGACACTCACTGAGTTCCTTGTAAGAACGGCAGTAGTTGAAAAGCACGTAAGCTGCCAGCACCATAGAAATCCCAGCGACACTCCCTTTCTTCACATTGATATACTTATTGTAATACCTGTAGTAACCTGCAAACAGGAGAGGAGGTCACCATCCTGCTTTGCTGTGAACGCTTCACGCAGTGCAAAGTTGAGTCTGGCTTAAATTCAGGGACCCAGTCCTGCTCTGGCTCTAAGCCGCTCGCCCTACATGCACCGGTTGATCAGGGAAAAGCACAAATGCCCCATAGGGTCTTGGGTTCCCAAGAGCCCAGGACAAGCTCCAGCTAGGCCCACCTTGACCCTGCCCCTTCTCTTTGGTCTTGACCTTGCCGTAGAGCTGGCTCAGCCTCTCGGCCTTTGATCCTACCTCACCCTCACCTCCAGGCCTGCGGACCCCCTTACCCTAATTCTGACCGAGAACCCAACCCCCAGTAAGGGCCACTTGGCTGTGGCCAGCTGCGTCAGCCTGCCCTCGGGGAGGAGGAAGGCTTCGTGCATTCATCTCTTTACTGGATGCCCCCACCAGTGAGGAAAGACACAGTCTCTGCCCTTGGGAGGGGCTCAGGGCCTAGTCAATAAAAAAGGATGAAATGATCACAGGCCCCAGTGTACAACAGTGAGGGATGCCAGGAAGGAGCAGGGCAGGGAGCTGTGCGCACGAATAGGCCACACTCATCTCCACTGAGGAGTCAGGCACTGTTGTAACTAAGGGTGCGAACGAGGCAGAGCATTCTAATCTGAGAGCAAGGCTGAGGAAAGGCCTCAGGCAAGAGGAAACGTGGCACAAGACAGCCACAGGGCAGCCAGAATCTAAGGAAAAACACAGAAGGAGGGGCCCTGAGGCGGCCGCACACCAGGCAGGTCCCTGTGGGATGATGTGGTCTTTATTCCTGGAAGGATGCCACGGGCTCCATGGGACTGATCTGACTAGTCGAGCACTTGAAAATGCACAGACCTGAAGGACAGACCATTTCAAATATTCATCTTGGAAGTTTTGCCTGGCAGGGAGATAAGCATTATATTATGGACTGATATCCGCTATGCTACAAACTCATTTTCCTCTCAAATAAATCTTCTGGTGTAAAAATGCTCATGGACATTTCTTTAAGATGTTGGCAGTGGTACCAATTCAAAGCAACGGAAAACATTTTGGCCGAAGTATCTCAGAGCCAGCCTTGGGTAGGCCCAATCAAACATGGCAATTCCAGGGTGAACAGTCGCTCCCTGTCCTTCTCTCCATAACTTACTGGTCTGAGGCAAGGCCTTTACTGCCCACATCAATTCAGGGCAAACGAGAACTGAAGACTCAAAGATTTGCTTTTGTCTACACATGTCCGTAAGGCTGGCTCTGACCTCTTTGAAACGCTCCAGCAATGCCCTTAGGGGTGAAATCCCGCATCAATATCCAGCTTGGCAGCTCTCCTAGTTTGACTTCCATGAGTTTCTTCTCCTTCAATGGTACTGAAAAGGAAGAGCAGAAAACACACACACTGAAAAATCTCCCCAAAACACAAAACATCCTTTTATGTCACTTATTTCACCCATTCAGTAAAGGTGCGTTCTGGGGGCCAGCCCCGTGGCCGAGTGGTTAAGTTCGCGCACTCTGCTTCAGCAGCCCAGGGTTTCACGGGTTCGGATCCTGGGTGCGGACCTAGTGCCGCTCTCAAGCCATGCTGAGGCGGCGTCCCACATAGCAGAGCCAAAAGGACCTACAACTAGAATACATAACTATATACTGGGGGACTCTGGGGAGAAAGAAGAAGAAAAAATAAAGACTGACAACAGATGTTAGCTCAGGTGCCAATCTTTAAAAAAACTAAAGGTGCATTCAATAACATCACTACACAGAGGCTGCACGTAAGTGATGTTATGAATAAGTATGTCATACCAAGTGCATTATTTTAAGCTGGAGTCTATACAATGGCAGAACTGCTGCAGCGACAGCTTTATTAATGAAGAGGATTTTGAATGACAGCTTGCTGGGAATGACTGTGTAACAAGAGAACCAAGGGCCACGAGGAAGAAAGTAATAAAGTGGAGGAGAGAATAGAAAGGTTACTGCAAAACTAGTATTTACTTTACATATATTAGCTCATTTAATCTTCAGACAGTTGTTGATGCCTTTATTTTAAAGAGGGTGGCAGGAGTGACTTAGAAAAGTTGGGCAACTTGGCCAAGGTCACACAGCGTGCAGGCAGTGGAGGCTGGACACAACCTCAGGTCTGGCCCCCGCACTCCTGCAGCCAATCTGATTTCCACCTCAGGCATCCTACTTGGGACCACAGATGTCAACTTAGTAAAACCCACTCCAAACGATCCAACAGGCCCCGTATTCCAATGAGAGTCTGGGGACTGAGGACAGGTAGGGCTCCTGGTTGAGGCCATACTGTACTCATCTCTCAGCTGAGGAAGAGAACCGGGGGGGGGGTTGGGGAGGGGGTGGACCCGTAAATGGCCAGATGCCCCTAAGGAGGAAATGGTCTCCCTTCCCCTCTCCCCCTGCAGAGATCAACTTTAAAAAGCTACCTAGCGGGGCTGGCCCCGTGGCCGAGTGGTTGAGTTCGCGCGCTCCGCTGCAGGCGGCCCAGTGTTTCGTCAGTTCGAATCCTGGGCGCGGACATGGCACTGCTCATCAGACCACGCTGAGGCAGCGTCCCACATGCCACAACTAGAAGAACCCACAACGAAGAATACACAACTATGTACCGGGGGGCTTTGGGGAGAAAAAGGAAAAAAAATAAAATCTTAAAAAAAAAAAAAAAAAAAAAAAGCTACCTAGCAGGTGTCTTCTTCAGGGCAAGGAGTCCAGGACAACTGTCCCTCCCTAAAAATGACCAACCACAGGAGGAGCCAGACTGATCACTCCAAGGTTTCCTCTCCATTTTGGGGATCCAAGGAAAGACTAAGGCTCCTTAAGGACCAGTCTCAAGAGTCCAGCTGGGGAATCCCACAGGCCTCCCGACATCTCCCAACCCTTAACAAGGGCAAAGGCTGTCAGGCCATAAACAGAAATGCAAAGCTTAACAGCAGCTTCTAATCCGCCACAGTCACCTGGTGAACCAGACACTTGGCCTTGATGGGCCAGACCGACAGCTTGTCAAGAAACTTGCATACATGGCTTTAGGGTCACAGTTTAGGCTGCCTGTTCCAAACAAACTGGCCCCAACCTTCCAACTAGTCTCATCCAGCAAATGTG